ATGGTTTAGAAGTATTTATTTCTAAAAAAAAAAAAAAAAAATAGAGTGAAACCCATTGAGAATTTCTATTAATCAGTATGGAATACTTTTCAGTGTAAATATTTCAAAACAACACGAATTTTTTCAATAATTTGATTCCGATTACATGTTGTTGGCATAGATTTGCAACTGGCTACGTGCTTTCTATTTAAAACAGAAAACGTTGTAATGATTGAAACACAGAGATTTTATTGAAAAGCAATCCAAAGTTTCTTTTGAGTTATTTTGACTAAATCTAAATTTGTTCAATGTTTTCATAATAAAAATAATAAACGATTTATCGATTTTTGCCAAAAGGAAAAACAATTAAAATCATATTAAAATCAATTTGTTGTACAAACAGAATTTTATTGGTTGATCCATTTCGGGGTTCTCGACGTTTCTAAAGAAAACAACACAGAAAATTTAAATTTTATGGCGAATGTTTATTGTCATCCGAAGGAACATTAATTGGGATTTATTTTTTGAAGATTATCTATTATCTACTCAAATGTTGGCAGCGGCTACGTCTCAGATGGTCCATCCATTGAGTCCAATTTTTGATGACTCGTTTGAGCATTTCGCAGCGGGATTGTCCGCATAGAATAGGCTTTACTTATCCCCACAGGAAAAAGTCTAACGGTGAAATTATCTCACCGCCGAAGTGTTCTCTCAATAAATCCATTGATTGAAGCGATATGTGGAAAGTGGCGCCGTCTTGATGATATCAAATGTCGCCGAGATCAGGCATCAAATAGTTAGTTGACGGTTACGTACTCATCGGCATCATTTATGAGGAAATATGGACCGATGATTTCAGCGGTCCGCAAGCCACACAAAATAGTAGTTTTTCTGTAGGAAATGGCAGCTCTTGAATCTCTTCAGGTTGCTTTTCATCCCAATTTCACTTGCTTGCCTATCCTTTGAGTCAGAAATGAGCCTCATTGCTGTACAAAATTTGGCTTGAAAACGTGGGGTCTTCTTGAAACTTTCCATGAGCTCATAGAATGAAGCGATGCAATTTGGGACGAACGAACGGCTTCAGTTCAGGCACAAACTGTATTTTGTATGCTTTCTCCGACGTAAAATGCGACAAGTCGTTCCATACGTCAGTCCGAGTTTGCTGTGAATAGCGCCGGATCGACTCTCCACGGTCTTCGTGTACACTCTCATCTACGGCCGCTATATTTTCTTCACAGTAATGAGTGTTGGGTCTCAAGATGGGTGATGGATGGTGTTGCGAATACTACGCTCAGTAGGACGTTTATGTTGACCATAAGTTGTGCGAAACGCAGGCGTTCTTTACAGAACGTGAATTTTCGTAATAAAGTTGAAACATTTGTAAACGCTGGTTATGTGCAAGTCCTTGTAAGGACTTAATCAAAAAGTTTAAGACCTTGTCTTCAACGATGCTCGACTCGCAACTCGCAGAAATGTATGGGGTTTCCGACAGATTATGTGTTAAGTCGAATTATGATATATAACTCTAATTTGTTGAAGCCTCTTGACGATTTCCAACAAATGGAGGGACCTACACTTTATTCTGTAACGGCTCCGCACGGCCGATGGTATTATATGAGGATCAAATAAACTCGGTGGCTTGGGATCCCCTCCCGAGGGGCAACCGCAATTAGACAAATTTATTCTCTATAATTTTTGGATGATCGTCGAACCAGAGCTCGAGCCCAAGCATTCAGAATGGCGGCCGCAGGTCAAATCTGAGTCATACATACAGTAGCATAAAATGGTCACTGCCTCTCACAAGGAGTTTAAGGTATTATAGTCAGCTGGGAAGCTCAGGGCAACGGTCTTAGGGATTATAAATTAATACTCTTGATCGATTATAGATAACAAATAGAGCGCCTAAATGAAGCCATTAAAGAGTAGAGGTGAAATATTACGAAAGGTCTGCTGCTTTCGCATCGAAATTTTTAAACATCTACCCTTCAGCTCAGACGTAGCCCTGAATGAATTCCAAAAACTAAAACAGATTTCCTATTTGCTTTATTCTCATTTTCACAAAAAAGTGTGATTTAGGACTGTCAAACCAGTAATAGCTTTATCATGTATACCAACCTTCCTCAAAATAATCTAGTATAAATCTCAAATCAAAAGTCCCTCCATATACACTTATCGAGCGGCCCTCGTTTATACCATCTTTTGGGAAGAAACAGAAGTCTTATTACATAAAACAAAAAGCAAATTTATTATTCCACAATAGATTTTCATTAAACGTAAATTTGAGAGATAAATTAATTGAAATTAATTTTATTAATAAAGATTCATGAATTGTTTAATAATAAAACGTCTATCAACCCAACTCACCTTGACGGATGGGAAGTCATGCAGAACTGATGTACATAAGTATATAAGAAGCTCTAACAACAAACAGTTACAAAAACAAGTACTTACATGGTATAAATATACATCAAAGTTGTATATATGTATGTGCTTATGTATTGTAGGTGAATGTAAATAGGTAAAAGTCGAAGGCGAATGCGAATGGACTGTGAAAATCAGCGACGCAAAACTACCAAAACCGGTAAACCGGTAGCGGGCGACTGGGCAGCAATTGGGTGGCGCGTACTACTCATAGTGCATGCATACATTCACATGTAGGCTTGTGTGTAAGTACATATGTAAATATCATATGCATGCACATGTGCTTTACATGCCCGAAACGTTTTGGGTACGCATTTGCATAGCAAGAATGTGCGCGCGTAAGCAAAAGAACGCAAATAGATGGAAAGAAAAATAATAAAAAATTTAAAAAAGAATAAGAAATAAAATTTGAATTTGGTTTGACGACACTTGAAAATAGGTTTTATTATTTTAATGTGTTTTCGTACTTAAATTTACGATTTTTATATATTTAATTATACTCATTTCGATTTTTATTTCAACTTAAATGATTATTTTTATTTTAATTTTTATTTGTATTATTATTTAATATTCATTAATATTTTTTTTCATATTTAATATTTTATAATTTCATTTTTGTTTTAATTTTTTTATTTTAACTTTCATTTTTGTTTTTGCATTTATTTTTACTTTCATTTTGTTTCCTATTGATATTTTAATTTTAATTTTCATTTTCATTTTTTTCATTCAATTCTACTTTAATATTTATTTTTTAACCCTATTTTAATTTTTATATTTAGTTTCAATTTTATTTTAATTTTATTCTAAATTTAAATTATTATTATAATTTAATTTTCATTTCATTCCTATTATAATTTTATTATTTCTTAATTTAATTTTTATTTTTAAACTAATTTTAACATTTTTAATATTTTTGTGCTTATTTTAATTTTAGTTTTCATTTTAATTTTTATTTTCATGTATATATACTTTCATATATATATATATATATATATTTTCTATTTAAATTTTAAATATGAATTATATTTTAATTCCTATTTCAATTGTTATTTTAATTTCAATTTTTATTACAATTTTTTTTCATATTTATTTAAATTTATGCTCAAATCTTAAATTTTATTTTGATTATTATTTTTATTTTCATTTTAATTCTTTTATATTTATTTGTTCATTTTATTTTTAGTGTTATTTTTAATTTGAATTTTAATTTTAATTACAATTAATTACAATTATAATGCTGATTTTCATTAAAACTTTATTTTTCATATTAATTTTTATTTTATTTTCATTTAAATTTTTATTATACTCAACTCTTTTCAAATTCTTATTTTGAATTTGCCTTAAAATTTCAATTTTTATTTTGCTTCTTATTCTAATTTTTTATTTTTAAGACTAAAAAGTCTTATTTTTAATATGAGTTTTAATTATAATTTTATTTTTTATAATAATTATTATTTAATTTTGATTTAATTTTTATTAAAATTTGTATTATTATTTAATTTTTTTTAAATTGCATTTTAATTTTTCCTTAAATGTTAGTTTTTATTTTTATTCTTATTTTAGTTTTTCAGTTTTTTATATATTTTTTTTTAATTAATTATTTATAATTTTATTTATTTTTTATTATTTCTTATTGCATTTCAATTTCATTTCATTTCAATTTTTATTATTATTTCATTTTTACTTTTTTTAATATTCTTTATTTTAATTTTTCCTTAAATTTTAACTTCTAGTTTAATTTTTTTTTTAATTTTTATATAATTCTTTTATATTTAATTTGTGTTTCTTAATTTTAATTCTAATTTTGATTTTAATTTTTTTTTTTTTGAATTTGCATACTAATTTTTTTTATTTATTTATGCTTTCTTGCGTTTTTTGAACTTGATTTCAATTTTTTACTTCTAATTTTAATTTATTTTCATTTGAATTTTCAATTTTGTTTTTATATTTTATATTAATTTCAATTTTTTTACTTTAGTTTTCATTTTCATTTTGATTTTATTTTTTTTTTTATTTTAGTTTTATTTTTTTATTTTAACTTTATTTTTTTATTTTGATTTTTACTTTTTTTCATTTTGATTTAAATTTTCTTTTTTATTTTGATTTTTATTTTTATTTTGGATGAGATTCGAATTTTTCTTTTCTTTATAATTTTCACTTTTATTTAAATTTAACTTTTATTTCTATTGTAATTTTAATTATTATTTTATTTTAACTATTATTTTAATTTTATTATTAATTTCTATTTTTATTGAACTTGAATTTATATTTTTCTTTTTATTTTCCATTTGCTCGATATTTAGTTTTTTTTTTTTTTCTATTAATATTTCACATTTGCTTTTACCATGCATTTACATACGTAGGTATGCATGTATGTATGTATGTGTATAAAATATTAAACCTTAGAAATGTACAGTTTGCAAATATTTTTTTTTTTGTAATATACATACATACATACATACATACATATTTATATATTATTATTTAAAGCGGCATACGCTGACAGCTGACGTCTTGCGCTGACGTTGCGTTGTCAGTGCTGGCGGCCGGACGGCTTATGTACACAGTATGCCAATGAACAGCGTGAACAGCGTCTTGGTAGTATTCAAAACGCGATTAAACGTTAAACATGTGAGCCGTCAACTACTGGGTCCGCTGAGACAGACAAATCGCTCAAATTAATATTTATAGTTTTTTTTTGTTGTTGACGATTTTTTTTTTTCATTGTAATTTAATTACGTTAATTAAGCATTTCCATGCAGTTTTTTAAGTGATTTGTTTTGTTGCATTGTTTATTTTATTTTGCTGATTATGTAAGAGCTCAAAAGCGCGAAGAAAAAAATTCTCACGTGTAAAAAAAAAATTCCATTGATATACGCAACTTTTCCTTCAAAAAAATACTAATAATAATGGTTTATATGTTTCTCAGTGTTGTGGCAAATTATGGTGAGTCGCCGATTGTTTTAAGTGGACCACAAATACATGCGAAAAAATAAATACAATAAATATCAATTGTGATCAATGGGGCAGGTTTAAAGTGCAATGTTTGTGCAAATTGATTTAAAAATTTCCAATAGACATAAAATACACATATATGTATATGAATATATATATATATGTAACATACAAAATTTGCGGCTTTGCCGTCTTATCACTCAGCGGTATTGAAAATTAGAATTTATGTGTTACGTATACGTAGTGTGTGACAATCAAGCGACACACACACACATACATTGTCTACATATACATTTAAAATCATATTTTTATGTGCATGTATGTATGTAAGTGAGCATGCTCTTTATTTATACCAGTTTTATTGACAAACTTTAGTTAGTTCAAGGTTTTAGTACATAAATACATCCATATGTACATACATATGTACAAGGGGCATACCAACAAGCAATCAACTTTTACACTTATATATTTGAGTGTGAACTACGTCACTCACCAAGCACTTAGCACCACTTAGCCACAGAAACAGTATGGAGTGGCGCCCAAAATAGGTGTCATGACATACATATATGTATACCGCCTTACAAACATTCAAAAATACATATTTGTATGTCATGTCATGCAGTGTGCAGCGCGGGTGCAGTGCAAAAAAGAAAGTGTGTACGTGTGTGTGTGTAACTGTTAAATACTCATGATTGCACGCTCGAATAGTTGTGCTTTTGTTATTTCATTTTTATGTATATATATATATTTTTTTTTTTCATTTACATCTTCTTTTTACATTGAACTTGACTTTGATGTGCCACAATATTGAGTTTTATGAGGAAAAAAAGTTGTAAAAGTTTTTTTTTTATTATCAATCTGCTTGTATGGAAAATAAGGAAATGCATAAATAAATAAAATGTCGATCATTTTGGAGTATAAGTAGCACATACATATATACATACATATGTATTTATTTTTATGCCAGATCAAGCATAAAGTATTCGTTTCGTTCCATTACTGAGAATTTGAGGTTATGTTTACATTTGAGCAGTACAAGCCAGTTGTATATTCTCGGTTACATGCATATGTATGTATGTGCAATTTTTTATATATACCAAATAATAAAAATAATTTTTTTTTTAAATTTTTACATATGCATATAAAGGTATGTGACATTTGTACATATTTACATATTTGTACATTTAATTAACGAAAAAGAAATCTATCGCTTGTTGGCCCATATTTTGTTTGCAACATTTTCATTGTTAATTAAAAATAAGTAGCGACAAGTACAAACAAATGTGCGTGCAAAAAAAAATACAGGTAGCTGCATATTAAAACCGGTAATTAAATGTACTAGTTAAGAACTACTTCGAAACCAGCATGGTTTCAATGCTCAACTAGTACGTCTATTGGTTAATACTTAAGCAAAATCACAATTATTGGAAATCACTCCGAAATTACTAGCTTCGTACTGTTTCAAAATGGAGAAAAAAGTAACTAGTTCGTTTCTTAACCTGAATTAGTGTTTCATTAAAAAAAAAGCTGGAATGAAATAACATTAGTTTATAAAGGATAAGTTGATAGAAAAAGTATACTAGTCTTTTACTAGTTCAAAATGTGCAAAAACAGCTACTAGTTGTTTTTTGGAAAAAAATTAGTGGCATTTTTGAGGAGATTAACAGAAATAAATTATGGTAATTAATTCAATAAGAAACTATTTCAATAAATAGTTAATAAATCGGTACCTAAGCTCTAACTGCCAACCAAGCGCTTCTTCTTCTTCTTCTTCTTCCTGGCTTAGACACCACTTACAATAGAGGCACTTAGAAATATAAACGGATGCTCCGCATCAACTTTCATAAGCAAACTTATGGGAGTACCATACCATACCAAAACTCACCACAGCGTACGCGCGAGAGCGGCCATAGAGGTTACCGGGAGTAATTAGAGAAATTTAGATTTTTTCCAAAGAAACCCGCTCTCCTTTTTTTCTGCCCCTTTATACGTCGACAAATTTTGCTCATTTTAGTGCATTCTACGGTAATCAGTCACGGATCGCGGACACGTTCGTGAGCGTTGCTAATAATATGCGTTTATAAACGAATTAACAACGTGCCTTTTGGTTGTTCTCTTTGCATATTGGCACCAGTTTAAAACACCAAGTGGAGTTGCCGGATCTATTCAAGGAAGTGGAGGTCTTCATACGCCTGTGACGGGAATGATGAATGACTTCTAGAGTTTAGTTTTTGTTCGTTTTTGCTATTCGGATTTCTTCAGAGTAGGTTGGTGTTTCATTTTAACTACCATTTAGCAGACTCAAGTAGTGTTCCTACCATAAATTCAGTATACCCTATGCTGATTATTTCTTGGGGTTCAACAAAAGTATGCCACGACCTTGAAATCTTTTGTAGGTCGACATATCTTCTCATAGAATTTTCAAGGATTACCCATGTCGGCATGCCTTTCAAAGGTCTTCAAATGACTGAGTATTCCGAAGAGATTTTTTGTTAAGCGAGTTTATAGAGCTAGAAAATCGCACTTGTGTGTTTATCGGAGAAACATATTGCATTCTGTTGAAGTTTCTCTTTAAACCATTTTTTTTCGTTCAAATTTTCGAATATTTAAGTAATGAAATTATTTAAAAAAATTAGGCAACAGTTTAAAAAATTGTAAAGAATTATTTTAATTACATTTGGATAACTAAGTCTTTGACGTTCCAAGACTACAGTTTTTAACCTAAAAATTTCCCTGAGTCATTTTAAAAATTAGAGCAAAAAAGTAAATTTTTTTACTTGTACCAATTGGCTACCTTTCAGACTAGTGATAAACCAGTACAATTTCTTATGAATTTAACATTTTCCTGTAGTGAGCATATAAAATTTAAATATATATTGCATAGGGTTATGCATTTCGCGCTTTCGAAAATTTTAAAATAGTTGTAGAAACTGGATTGGCTAGAGATATTGTAAGGCCTGAGCATTATCGTTTTATTCGTTCCACCTCAAATATCGCTACTGTGAAAAAAGTTTTCTTCGGCGACGTGGTACATTTCTCACTCGGGGCATATGTAAATTAGCAAAATTTTCAAAAAAAACTCCAATACATGAACAGGGCTCAATACAGGCAAAAAATTTACTATTTGTTGCGCTTTTTAGTCCGGAGGCGAAATTGAACCTTACTTCTTTGATAACGACGGGACTGTCACTGTCGATTCGGCGCGTTTTGGTCGTGTGATAACCGACTTTTTTGGTCTGTTGTTTAAGATGTGACTTGGACAAGATATGGTTTTAACAAGATGGTCATGCAATACGAGCGAATAAGACTGATCGTGCGATTAAACACCGTTAGAGCTTTTTTTGGAGCTACGCGAATTTTCATTATGCGGATAAACCATTTATTTTTGACAGCTTGAAAACCAACATTTGCCAAGCTATGACTGAGATACCAAGATTCAAACTTACTTTATGGGAAAAAAGGAATTTCTCGAAAAAAAATATATTTGAAATGCATTTTATTTACGTTTGATTCCAAAACCGCAAAATGTATGACCCTGTATGATACATATTTTGCAATGTAAATGCACATGTGCGTAAATTTAATAAAAAAAAATATCAACAAAGCCAAGACACAAATGGCATGACATTAAAGTATGTATTTTGCATTCAAAAAAAAAAAAAAAACAAACAAAAAATTAAAATAAACAAAAATTTTGTGTGCTAAATAGCTAAAAATAAAATTTTACCATTCTTGAATTATTAAATAATACTAACACTTATATGCACCAAAACTTTTATATAGCGATTGCGTAAATATCATACTCGTAAAGCGTGATTTTTTGAGAGCTTTAGGAAAGTTTTTCAAAAAAAAAAAAAAAACACATAAAATTCTGCAGAATGCATGAAATCTCTTTTGTTGAAGCGATAGTACGGTCCATATAATTTAATGTTTGAAGATTATTTCATGCAAATGTTGACCGTGACTGCGCCTCAAACGGTCCATCCGCATAGTCCAATTTTGGCATATCCTTTCCCACATTTCGGCTGGTATCTCACCAATAAATGCTTCGATGTTGTGCTCCAATGCGTCAATTGAAACGGGCTTGTCTGTATAGACATTGGATTTAACATAGCCACACAAAGAATAGTCTAAAAGCGTTACGTCGCACACTATTTAAGGAGGAAACATTAAGACGAGGAAACCGCAAATAGGAGCACTCACTCGGCCGAGAATCGCTTCAGCGGTTACAAAGCGCCAATAATATTAGTTTGCCCCAAAAGAAACCGGCGTTTTTCTAAATGTTTTGTAACATGAATTTTAATCAATTATGTAATTTCCATTTTGCTGGATGACCTTTCGCCATCATTCCAGCCACATCATTATTACGCGCTCATGGAATTTCTGGTCTTTATATGCAAGAAACTGAACGAAGTGAGATTTTATAGCCTTGTTAATTTTCAAAAGTTGTATCATTTAATGAGTTTTGCAAAGAAATGCAAGCAAATGGTAGTCTGACGGTGCAAGGTCAGGGCTATATAGTGGATGCACCAACAGTTCCCAGCCAAAGTCTCGTAGTTTTTGGCGAATGAGCAAAAATGTGTGCGGTCTAGCGAATATGACACCTTTACGATGGGCGAATTCTGTTCGCTTCTTGTTATTGGATGTATTCAATTTGTCCAATTGTTCACAGTAGACATCCGTATTAATCGTTTGGTTCCTTGGAAGCAGCTCAAAATATACCACACCCTTCAAGTCCCACCAAACTGACAGCATACTCTTCTGTTGGGGGATATCAGCTTTTGAAGGGATTTGAGGCGCTTCATCATGCTTGGACCATGATAGTTTTGGATTGACGGTATTTTAAACAATCCATTCTTCATCTCCATTTATGATTTCCTTCAAAAACAGATAATTTTTAATGCGTTTGAGATGCATATCACAAGCATTGAAGCGGCTTTGTAAATGAATTTCTTACAATTTATGTGGTACCCAAATAACTAGTTTTTTACCAGTCCAAGACGCCGTATATGATTAGGAACGGTTAATGTTGATACACTTAACTTCTCTTCAATATCAGGCTCAGTTACATGACGATCCGACTCGATTAAAGCCTTGATATCGTCATCATCAACTTCACTTGGCCGACCTGAATGTGGCTTACCCTTTGAGTGAAAAATCTTCCGAACGAAATATGACAAACCAACTTCGGCACTGTGTTTCTTCTGAGGTTTTATGGCCATACAAATTATGCAACTTTTTAGCCACCTGCGCTGCATTTTTTCCCTTTAAGCAAATAATAAAGTAAAAAAAATGTTCTTTGTGGGCTCCATATTAAAATTGACGCCAAACTAATAAGCAAATGTAATATAAGCAAAATTACGCGCACTTTTTTTTCTAAAGCAAGCTAAAAGTGGCAGCTTAGAGCTGTCAAAGGAAAAAATACTGTTAAATAGACACAATAATAATTATGACATATTTTCAAGCAAAGTTATCAACGCCGTCTGTATGAAAGATCACCGGTTTCTTTTGAGGCAACCCGACATATACATATATAGATATCGGTGCCTTGATATTGGAAATTAACCAAGTTTAGTTTTCGGGACCAGCATTCGGATTTAGGTAAATGTAATGATAGATAGATTACACGGAATTCCCGAAAACAAATTTAATTTAATAATTTATAATGTAGGTCCATCAGACACACAACAGAAGACGACTATCTTGGTCAATCGCTTATCGCACAACAAAAATACCTACATACATATGTACATAGCAGCCGTGCTAATTGTGCATACATAAATATTATGCTTTAAAAACGCAAATAGACAAACAAATAATTAAAAAAAATGAAAAAAAACACACATACATATATTTTCCAAACATTTGAACTAATTTAGGAGCACATACATATTTACAGCCATATACACATATGTATACTAAACATTGTCTAAACAAACATGAGACAGAAAGAAGCGCGTGTGTACGAGTTTTATATTTGATTTTTTTATTTCGTCTTTTTTTTACCATATATTGATACAAATATACATACATATTTACATGACCAATATTGAGCACAAACAGACCATGTCCAAATTAACTTCTCGTACATATTAATGAATGTGAATTTATGAACAAATTCATTGGGCGAGTTGCAGTTAAATAGAATAGAATAGAAAATAGCCAACGAGAAGAGCCAAAAGGCGGTGCAGACAAAAAGAAAAGAAAGATACATACATACAAGCATACATACATACATGCATACATGTGTACATATGTAAGTATGTGGATAAAAGAGTAGTCAAAACATAAAACATTCAGTGGAGAAACTAAAAGATTGCGCTCATGCAACACAAGTACACAACAATAATAATAATAACAACAACAACAATAACACCTAACTACGACTAGCCACCAAGTTCTTTAACGCTTGTAGAACACATGAACTCAGCGCGAGCCAAAATAAAATTTTGTTATACAAATCAAAAAAAAAAAATTATTTAAACGAAAACCACTTAGAAATCTCAATAGAAAAACTAGAGAAAATTCTCATTGAAAATGTGTAGGAAAATTAACCAAAATTAATTGAAAAAAAAAACAAGAAAACAACAAAACCATTGCTTGTTTGTTTAGTTGCCGAAACGCGGAGCAGCACCACTGCCAATGGCTGATGGCAGCAGCCAAAGCGCCAGCATTAAAAGCTACATTAGGCGATCGCTCAGCAATTTCCTGCGAATTTCAACCAAAAGACCCATCTGCTCATCAGTGTGCTTAAGGTCATAAACGCGATCGGGGCGAATAGTTGCGGAAAATGTTGAGTGAATTACGAAATTACTTGTTGAAGTAGAATTTTTCAAAAAAAAAAAAAAAAAAAAATGAGCAAAAACTAGATTGTGCAAACACACAAAAAAAAAAAAAAAAAAAAAAATTGAAAATAAAAATTACAAAATTCGAAAACAATTTTACAAAATAAATTTTCAATACCGTAGGGTTTTCGTATGTACTGTGAAGGTGTATTAAAAAGGTATTAGAAATATTTGTAAATAAGCTATAAATATTACTAGCTCTTGATTTTTTGAATCATATAAGTGCTTGTATCGAAACTTTACATACAAAACTATAATACATACTCAGGCATACATATGTACATGCATAAAGAGAAAAGAGTAGCAGAAATTTTTCGAAATTTTTTATTTCTTTTTTTAAGTAAAAGTTTACGCTCTGAGTATACTTTCTGATTGTTCTGTTGCATCTAATGTTTGCATAGAGGGTGTTTTTTTCCAGATATGTGGTTTTCAAGAAGAAATAAAACGCATATAAATTAATGGCATGACCGGGAATTCAGCTTTCGTCGCGGCTGGCTGCAATCAATTCCAGCCGAGAGGCCCAATTCTTACAGCGGTTGTGGCCGTATCGAGCTTATCTTCATATAACCCCAAAAAACAAATAGCCCAGCGGTGTTAAATCGTACGATCTTGGAGGCCGCGCCACAGGCCGTAAACGCGAGATAATGACAGCGCTCACCCAAAGTTACTTTCAATCAATTAATTTTTTCTTTAACTCTATGGCATGTAACGCAGCCATGTTGGAACCAAAAGTCATCCACTTCATTATCCTCCAATTCAGGCACGGAGAAGTCATTTATCAGGGTTCCATAGCATACTCCATTGAGAGTAACGTTACAGTCGGTTTCAGTTTTGAAGAAATATAGGTCAACGCTTGTCTCTGACCATAGAGCACAGCAATCGGTGATTTTTTTGGGACTGTAAACTCGTCTCAATGTATCTGAATCGTGGCCAACCACCACGTTATGGGCCCATTCAACGAACTTGCGGCACGTTTGATGATCGTACGGCTTCTATTCTTACACTAGCTATCCGCAAACAAAGATTCTTCCGCAAAATCATCCATGAAGTGGATGGGTACAGCTTAAATTGCTGCGCACAGTGGTGGATAAACTCGTCTGGGTCTACTTTAATACTCTACTCTACAGCAGTAATATCGTTTTCGGTGCACACCGTACGGCATCTCTGAGGATATGCATTATCCACTAGAGAAAACTTGGAGCGAAGCATATTCATAATTGCTTCGAGTTTCCGATTCTGCTGGGCGATTATGTGGATCGAATGTTGGACGCAGCGCGTAACATGTTTCAAAAAGACTAACTCATTGAAAACCAGACGTCTAAACAAAAACACCCTTTGAAAAATTTGTAGCATTCCATAACTACCTACAGCGTTGTATTAAAAATTTTTGAACTGTGAAATAATTGTGTTTTTTGGCGCAGCACATATATGCATACACCAACAGGTGTGATGTGCGTTGATAACATTTTAATTGATTTAAAATATTTTAATTGATTTCTTTCATAAATGTATCAAAACATTTTCATAATAATATATCAGTGCTAACCTATTAACGAGTGAAAGATGAGCTATAAGTCGCCCAGCGCTGATCTATTAAATTTTTAAACACTTTTATAGATATAAACAGATGTGAGTAGTGGAAATCATATTTCAATTATTAGTGTTGTCTCCCATATATTGAATGACGCTGTCGTAACAATACATCAGTGCTGACCTATAAATGCGTGAGAGATGAGCTATAAAGCAGTTAGTGCTGACCTAACAGCTTATGACGGTTAAGAATACAATTTTGCAGTTTGTACGGAGCAATTGAATACAAATTTAAGTAAAAAAAAGAGAGTGTTTCATCTTTTATAATGCACCCTTTTCCCAATATTGAATAAACAGAACTTTTTCGTCTTGCTGTCGTGCAGTCAATCATTGCGGTATTATAATTTTTGGTGTTATGTATTGTGCCCGAGCATTTGTTTCTCATTTCACGCATTTCGAAACGTATTGTTTGTGGTCAAACGTTTTCGCCATTGTTGTTGTTCGTTATGTCTTTAAACTAAAATTAGCGCTGACGTTGGCATTAATCTGGTATTATTTTTCTCTTTATCTCTCTTTTCCTTGTAGTGTCATTACCCGGTGCTGGAACCAGTCCAACCGAGCAACAACAGACCATACTTGAAGTGCTCAATAATAAAATTGTACAACAGCAACAGCAAGCGGCCGAGGTAGCATCAACCGAAACGGCTACGGCCGGTACATCAACAACACAGCCAACAGTGGAAGAAGAAGATGCCACAAATGCTACGACTCATGAAGTCATAGCGAGTGCGGTTAATGTGCCGTTAAATGAGCTTGAGGATGATCTAGTCAGTAATAGTCAGAGCACAACAAATACCGAAAGTAGTTTGAGCAACGAAAGTGCAACGAGTCAAATACCTTATTCGGTAGCAGCAGCAGCAGCAGCAGTAAAAACAAGTCAAGGGACGACAGCGGAGTCGACGATACAGCGTCCAACGAATAAAACAGAAACTGTAAGTGACACAGAAGCGGCGAAAGAGGGAACGACGACTACAACGCCCAGCGCTGACGGGCAACAAAGTACGAATAGTGCTACCGGCAGTGGTCATAGCGCCGCTCAGGGTCATGTACTTGATATTGAATCTCATTTAATTGAGACATATAAAGATTATCAAGGGACCGACGAGAGTGTTGGTATTAACGAACTGCCACCTCAGCAAGATGAACTGACAGCAGGTTCGTCGAAAGTTGAGACGGATGTAAATGTACGAACAGTGATTGAAGTGGAACCGGCGGGTGCAATCTCGAAGAAGCCCATAGAGATTTTGGTGCGTACAAGTCGAGCGCAGCGTGCTGATAGTGAATCTCATGCAGACGATATTGTTGAGGTGAAAGCAGCGCCCGAAGAAATAGTCACAGCTAGCGACTGTGAGGAGCAGAAAACCGAAGCGGACGTGAAGCGCAGGACTAGCAGCGAAGCAGAAAAAGAATTAAAAACTCAAGTGCAGGCTGAAGAACTCTCCTCTGAGTTGCCAACCGACACAAGTGATGCCATAAAAGCAACCGCAGAGAGGCTAGTCAACGAAATCGAACGTGAGGTGTTAGAGGCTCTGCGAAAGTGTGAAGGCGCACAAGCCGAGGTTAAGGTTGAGGCGACAAAGAACGCTTTAGAAGCAGCCGCGCAAAAACTAAACAATAACGACGACGACTTACCATGCCAGCGGCTGGACGAGCGTAACATTAAAGAAGACGAAAAGACTGAACAAGCTACAAGCCTACTAGATGAAATAAGCAATTCATTAACGCAAAAAGTCGACGCACAATTATCCGAGGTTACAAGCATACTTAAATCATCGAAACAAAGTCACGTCGCGCTGCAGTTGAGTGGCGTTAATGGCGAAGCCTTAAAAGTCGATGTTGATCAAACGCCAAACAACGAGCTTAAGATAGTGAATGTGCCGTCGCCAAAAACGCCATTGGACGAAGAGGAGCGTAAGAGGTTTTTAGAATCTCTGCCGCATTTAGATAGTAACGCTGAGGCTCAAAAGCTTGCCGACGACTGTAAACGTGAATACTATCAGTCGCTAAAGAAGTATCTGATACAGGGTGAAACCGATCGACCACCAGTGCCATTGCAGACGTATCGTTGGGAAGATTTGCGACGCGCGAAGGAGCGGGTAAGTAGACACGCTAAACATAGTATATTATTTACCGTTTTACTAATTTTTTCTTTCTCCTTTTTGCCCTGCAATTTAGGGCGGCTATCCGTGGACACATTTGTACAAACGACCGCTCGGTCCGGACGAGGAACCCGAAATTGTTTTACTCCTGCGTAAATCACAAGAATTTCGCTTCGTCTCGGAATCGCCCAAATCGTTGAAGAAGGTGCGCATCGACGAACAAGTTATTATCAAGCAACCCGAGCGCTATATACAAGAGCTTTCGGAAGCCGAAGAAGATTATCCACAATCAGCGCCCGAAGACGAAGAGACCCACAGCTTGCGCAGTGAGAGTATTTCTTGTGTCTCCGATTCAGTACTTGCCACGGGTAAACCACGAAAGTCTACGCGTTTGGATAAGATACGTGGATATTTGAGGCGTCGCAAAGGCGGACGCACCAACGAGGACGCACAATCATTGCCCTGCGCTTCGAACAGCAGTAGTCGTCGACACAGTCAGGAAAATATAACGCCACCTGCACAACCGCCCAATCCACAGATACTTTTAAACGGCAACAACACCGAACAAAAACATTGTTATCCCATCATGAAGAAGTTAAAAAGTATGGCAGACCGCCAAAAAAAGCGCTTGAATATAAAACGTATACATTTGGGTAAAGACGAGAAGATTGTGTTAGGGGAAGAAACGAAAATTTTGAAATTGAAAAAATCACCGAAAGCAGAACGCGGCGAAATACCACATTTCATAGAGAAACAAGACTCCGATGATGTGTTGGAGATAATGGAATTGGATGAATCGCCCAGTCGTAAGCGTCGCGACGATGGCAGGCAAGAAGACGAGCGCCAAGAGATTGTGCAAGCAGTCAAGGATGACAATGAGCAAATGGATGCCAATCAGGCTGAGGCGGTAAGCATTGTTGTACCCGACGAAATCATAGAAATACCGCAATTAGCGACGGACATTAGCGAGCAACCAACCACAAGCAAAGAAGCTGAAGCTACACAACCACCAGAGTCAACAGTGAGTGAGCCTGTGGCAATAGCGTTGGAAGTATCAACAACCGCCGCGCCACCAAAGAAAGCGCCGCGTCTGCGACGCGAACATGTCTACGAAGAAATAGAGTCGGAAATGCCGCCGGAAGTTTTAGCGGAGCCGCCTAACGCAAGTGTTGGCTTGCTGGAGTTGGCAGCCGTGGAGGCGCTCAAAGAATCTCTAGCGAAACAGGACAACACCACATTCAAACATATCGAGGAAGGTGCAAAATCATTACCACTCGATCGTATGGGCAGCAGTGAAGAGGAACAAATTGCTGCCGCTACCGCTACTGCAGCTACAGATAAACCTGCGATCAGTTTGCTTGCGCCGCTCTCATCAGTTGACTCCGCCTCTTCGGATGAGGATCGCAACCGCGCGCAACTATCACCCGTCACTGAGGAAAGCGATGCGGCAAGTGTTGAAGACAATCTACGTATTATCGACGATAACGAACCAATCGATCTGAAGCCGGCTATCAAGAAGGAGGCCTCACCAGCGCCGTCCGACAAAAAGGTCACCTTCTCACATGTGGAGGACGAAGCGGAGCCGCATCGTGAGGATATCGAACTGCCAACAGAAGTGCAGGAAGAGGCTGCACAGCGCAAGAAATGGACGAATATGAGGTGAGTTTAGTAAAGGAAGACAATTATCGCCACTAATATTCATCGTGGTCTATTTGTGTTCATTCGTACTGAATTGCTTTCAGAAAAATACTTACGATATTTGCTAATAAATTTCTTTATGAAACTTTTACTAACACAACGTCTCGTCAGACAATCAAATCGAGAATACATCACCACTGCCATCATAAATACCATTACATATTTACGCACATACACACACATTAGTACTAACATCACATAAAACACACGACGTATGAATACAAAACCCCGAAACTGTCAGAGGTGAGTGGTCATTTTTATTTATTTTCCTATCATCAGCTCAAAATAAATATTTATACAGATGCTGCGGTGGATTGACAAAGTAAAACGATAATTGAAATGACTTAATTGTTTTTTTTTTTTTTTCCAAAATATTCCACCAATTCTCCGATCACTCTTGCCCCTCGGAAACGCATATCTATCCATTCAGCTGTTTGAAGGTTTCACTAGCTTTTTAATGTTCGGGAACGAAAAATTATAATAATTATAACGAAGTTGAGGCTGTAAGGCCGCTGAGTCTGTAGTTCAATCTTTTGAGTACTCAAAACCTCTCTCTCTTGTTTATACCCAAATCGCAAACGATACCCTGGAAAGCAAACGATTATATCTCTTCTTTTACATTATGTTGCAGTTATTGTTATTGTCGACGCTGTTCTCTAACACGAGCATTCAATATCAGTCTATGTCACCTGAGTCGTCTAACGGGAGGTCCAGCCAACTAGCTGCTTCGACGAGTTTGGACCGTAGGAAAAAAAGGGGTTGGATGCTATGGTTTTAGGAGGTACGAAAAGTGGTAGTTAGTATCATGCGGGGACTCATTGCATGTACGTTGGGTATGTCGGAGTCAAGTCTGGACAGGCGCGAGTTTAGTCAACTACAATAACCCGATTTCTATAGTGGCAGTATTAGGCGAGACTCTAGAGTCAGCTTGAGCCTTTCATCTGCAATGGATGTTGGTTTGACCCAGAGAACGGATTTTAGATGAATGGCTCTTAATGCCCGTAAGTAAGCCGTTCTGTCCAACGGCTCTTGTAAGTGGTGTAGAGTGTGGCTCTTAAATTCGAGTACTCTCTACCTGATGTACCCAGGTGATGGTTCGGCATCTAGTAAATATATGTTGGGGTGCTCCCTATGGTTGGTTGTACAGCCAAGCGTTATGATTCTTAACTGGCAGCTTAGATGATGCGCTGTGCAAGCGATGCTCTGGCGACATCTGGAAGTTTCACATCACTATTCCTCGTCAAGGCTGTCTTCAGCGTCTCGCTAGTTTCGTTCCCGTTGTCCAATTCGGAGTAGCATAGTTTAAGTTTTGCCAACAACTCTCACGACAGCTGGTTCTTCGTTCTAGCGGAGTTGACTCGGATTTTATTCGGCTAAAGGTTGTGCCTCCCGTGTCAACAACAGAGTGCCGTTCGTTCCTTCATTTCGCTATTTGGCGCCACTTCGAAATATCAAGTGAATCCAAATCGCTCATCACCTCATTTTTCCAACGGAGTAATGGTCACCAAAGCCGACTCAATGGATGCTCATAGCGTCCATGCTTCAACATTATATAGCAGAACGGAGGGCATGAGTACTTTAGCAAGTGTTTTGTTCGTTCGTCAAATCGTAAACGAGATGACTGTTAGTTTGATGGTACAAAATATTTCATCTTGTTCTTGGTCACTTAATGTTTTTCCAACAAATGGAGGAACCTACAGTTTACACTAAGCCACCTCCGAACAGTGGCTGGATTTTTCCGAGGATCTTTTATTTTAAATACACTTGGAGGCCTTGAAATTCCCTACCGAGGAGCGACGGCAATTACGAAAATTAATTTTCTATGATTTTGGATGTAGTGCGAACCAGAACTCGAACCCTAGCCTTCAAAATGACACTACGCAATGCTAACCATTCGGCTAACGCAGCCGCGATATGCCTTCATTGAGTGCTCATTGACAGCTTACGACGATAGCCGAAGAAAAAAATGCTGCTAATCTAGGGTCTGAGACGACTGTTCGTTGAGTGCCCAGCAATTCAATTGTTCAATTTCCACCGATACTTTTAGGCGCTTGAGTTATGCATACACCTGTCTATGTATACTCACACAGACCTATATGGATTAGTGCAATTCTCAATTGGATAGTGAAGTCATGAGCTTTATGTGTATATTAGTGCCAGACCCGAGGTGCTTGGTAAAACCAGGAACGGCGGGTCTATAGCTTACAAAACCTTTTGAAGTACTCTCTAGCTCCACAATTTTTAAAGTGTCTCTGCTCTTCTGCAATCAATTCTAGACGCAACAACGAAATGCTCTCTCCACACTATCTCCAACCACCGGAGGATAGGGGTCACTCCGCACCACCTCTCATTTTTCCTCCATTAAGAGCCAAACGGCTCGATGAATAAATTCAAGAGTAACATTCCTTCACCTAAATATCGTCTCCCTCCTACCACCAAGCTTAGACAACGAAAAAGTAATACGAAAATCAGACAAACGGGCACTCGTACGCGTATCTCCAGTGCGAAAAAATAAATCTAGCACAACGTTCTCCGAGAAATTTATGCAAATATTATAAATCTTATGATGTAATAGATGCAAAACCCAATAAGAATTGTGATTTAGAAGATGTTTACATGAGAAGACCAGGCCCGTGAGTGAGTCTCACGACGAGGCGGACGAATGGACGAATGTTCAATGGACGTTTCTGGCACGGCGGCCAAGTCGAAAGCAGCAAATACTTTGGCGAATGCTAAACACAATTATTAACATGTTATATATATATATATTTACATATATATGTATATAAAAATTTTTCTGAATTGATTTGTTTTTGGCTTCGCGCGACGGCGGAAAGTATAAAGTGAAATAACTCAAATAATTGCTGCTCTTCTTGGCTAATTTTACAAGAGAAAAAATATTTTCTTTTTTTTATTTCAAAAAAAAAAAAAAAAAAATCGAAAAAAGCGCACAGCGAACTTCGTCCATTATTCGTCAACAACCGACGACTCGTCTTGGCTTGACTTGGCTGGCCATTGGGCTGAAAGTGGGAAAAGCTCTCAGTCCTGGCTGAAATTCGCAACGATGCAGACATTCGGTTGGCGTTGGACGCGCGAGTAGCGAGCGACAAAAAAGCAGAAATTGCGGTGCTGTGACAAACAAAAAACAAACAACAACAAAAAAAAATAAATTAAAATAAATCTAAATTTAAAATATCTTCTTATTATATAGCATACATACTAGCACACATGTATGCGTGTGTGTGTGTGTGTGTGTGTGCAATGTGTCAACGACAAAGCAGCAAATTCTTGGCTGCAAGTGTCTAATGCTGCTTTCAAGTGCTAGTTCGTGCAGCCAAAAATATAAATATACTCACATACATACATATATACATGTATATTTATTCATTAAAGTGTTGTTGTTGTTGCTATTGTTGTGATTTGAAAATAAATCTACGCATTTTTGCGTTTTTTGTGAAAAATAAACATATATAAATTATATTTAACCGTTAAATGACGTTTAAACCCGTATTTCCTACGTACGACCTCGCAAAGCCCTCAAACGACGACCAAAAGAGAATTTCGAAACAAAAATTATTTTTTAAGCAAATTTTTTTCGACAATAATAATAAAGCTTTTGCTAGCCTACCCACCGAGCGAGACAACTACATATAAATAAGTGTATTTAAAAATAGCGTAAGCCAAAAAAAGACAACAACAAAGAAACGTCGACGAACAACGAACAATACAACAACGCATCAATCCTTAACTGATCCTCGTCACCTGTCGAGATAGCGCACATACAACAATTTACAAAGTAATTTCCACGCTAAGTTACTTTACACCACAACCCCGGTAGTTAGATCGCTTGGTATTCCCCCAGTTGTGTCGCAAGCGCACGCCATAAAGCTCTCACCGTCAACATGAACCCCCGACGATCGGCCTCGGTTGGCGCATTGCCGCGCGAGAAGAAACATTTCGTGTCGCGTACCGAAAGCACAAGTGGAGCTTCGCTCGATGTACGCTGCGCTTGTCAGTATTTTCAATGTGACTCGCTGTTGCCGGAACGCGTGAATCCCGTTGGTGACTCACGTCCCACCTCGGCAATGGGTTTTCACAGTGAACTGAGCGGGGAACATGAACATCTGCATTCACCAAATCAACAACATTTTCAGCATGTCAACATGGACTCCATCACAGCGCAGGGCATGGATCAGCTATCGACACGTAGTTTTAATGTGACAGGTGGACATATGCATATGGACATAGATCGCTTCTCAATGCATAGCGTAGGTGCACAGCGTACACTTGATCAGAGCTCAACGCAGGTAGATATCTCTTTTGTGGATAAATATCCCGAGCTGGAGGAGGTGGCGCGCTCACGCGGTTTGATTGTGCGTAGCATCTCCGATGCGAAAGAGAATGAAATGCCCGGCGCGCCGTCCACTTTTATGGCTGGCCAACGTGGTCGTCATATGTCGTTGAGTCGTCGCACGTCTAGCGGCGGCATGCGTGAACCGGACACTTGGTCAACGCGTAGTGTTGCCTCGTTGCGTCGCATCTCACGTTCGCCCTCTAAATCCGATCTTTTTGTGGCGGACATTAATATACCGACCACACGTCAGGAAGCACGCTTCGAAATGCGCTCAGCGAGCACTAGTCGTCGCACTTCTAATGTTGATTTGTCACACTTTGCCTCGCATCGTGCTTTACCCACACTGACGCTTGGTGGCGCGCCCAAATCGGTTGCTGATATCTCAACAGCTATACCGCTTGCTGCCAACGCACAACTGCAACTGCAACAGCAACAGCAGCCACAGAAACTGGATGCACCCAAATTCAATTTAATTTCGGCCACGCCTACACCGGCTGCTGATAACAGAGATGTGCGCCCTGATTTTGAGCGTGCTACAGCCTCCAGGCAACGTTCACCTTCGCCATCTGCAACGGATTACCGTATCGCCAAGCCACCTGTGTCCACCGACTACATGCGTCCGGAAGAGAATAAGGAAAACATGTATTATGCGCCTTTGGGCGAGCTTCTACCACAGAATAAGCCAATAGACGTGTCAATGTTTCGTTCATATAGCGATGAAAACAGAGAGGAATTACCACCAGAAGCACCATCCCAGCCCGCAACAAGCACGTGGCGTCCGTTTGGACGAGCTCAATCGCCAAAGCCTGCGGCAGCAACAGCGCTCACCACAAGCACTACCATCGATCCATTACAGCAAGTGGTGAGCGAGCTTGAGAATATAGCGGCAACAAGGAATGTCGAAGATGTCTTCGACAATATACGCATGCAAACAACGCAACCGCCAGTACTCAACGGCTCTGAAATATATCCGCCAACGCTCCATCCCTCCGAAGAGACGAGCATACAAATAAGAAGCACAGTACCCACAGTGGATATCGACCACTTGGTACAGAGCGAGACGCGGAAGGCAGTTGAGGCGCGCTTACGTTCGAAATCACCACCACCGGTGCGTCCGAAACGCACACAATCGCCCCATATGATGGACACATTGCAATTGCCCAGTGCAGAAGAAGCGTCTAACTTTGCTAATGAACAAACGAGCAAGCCCACGGCGTTGAAGCGACAACGCACGCCTGAACGTGCCGCCTCACCGGATAGTAGTAAAAAGCATGCGCCTAACATTCAGCGAATGGAAGCACAAACAATAGAAGTGCACTTCAGTGACCTACCCACCGAAATACCTTTGCAGGACGCGCCACCAGAAGTTAAAGGCTCATACACTTCCCGCTTCAAATCTATGTTTACGTCCAGCAAATCAGCCTCGGAAGATTTTCCGCCCGTTTCGGCCATGATCGAACCGTCGCCCACGCCCTCACGTCAGAAGTCACCATCGCCTATGCGCCAAAAGTCACTATCACCCGCACAAAAAAAATCGCCTACACCGCAACGCGAAAAATCGCCCTCGCCAATACCCGCTAAGCTGAAGGGCATGTTCACCAAATCCAAGTCCACACCGATGTCGGTTGTTACTGGTAACACAGCTATGATGACGAAACCGCCAGAAAAAGAACCAATGTCGGTAAAAGTAACGGAGACCTTCTCGCTTAAAGTCGACGACATGGATCAGTATAACGCGCGACCGGCTAAACCGCCACCAAGCTCCGTACAGCCCACGCCGCCAATAACAGCGTATAGTAGTCGTGAAGATTTCTTGAACTCGGAGCAGATTTCGGTTAATATGCCTGCCACAGCCGAAGCATTCGCACCGGTCATTATACCCTCGATACGACGGGAACAATTTATGGCTGGCAACAGATCGTTTTATTCGAGCGAAGTGGATGCGCAATCGCGTCGCAGCGATTCCGAGTTTAATCGCAGTGGTAGTAAAGAGCCTTCTGTGGGTGGTGGTAGTCACATTCATCTACCCAAAGGTACTCTAATATCTGTACCGATAAATATTGCACCTGGTAGTAGTAGCGGTGATTTGCGTCAACACCCATCATCAATAGGTACTTCGCAACAGAGTCTCCCGCCGCGCCCTCGTCCACCATCTGCCGACGGACGTTTGGGAAAGTCGAAATTGGTACGTAACTCATCTTTTATGGATGGACGAACTCAATCGACAGATCGTGCAAGAAAATTGCATGGCTCCAACGAAGATTTGTACAATACGCGTATGACGAAAACGGTTAGTTTCAATTTCGATGAGCGTAAATCACGCTTGTCCGATTTCGAAAGTTCCAACTTGACTCAACAGCAAAAAGATAAAAAAGAGTTTCTCGAAAGGACGTACTTTTCTCGGTAAGAATGAAACCCTTAGGTGATAGGTCCCACTGACAAAACTTTGACTTTACATACAAATGTACCGAAACACAAAGCCATAAAGACACAATGACACGCACACTGAAGTCATGTGGTGAAGAATGGTTTGTTGGAAGCAAAAATCGGAGAAGCGAAAGATTACTCGCTGGAAGCTTCATAAAGCTCCTCCTCCATTTCATTGCTGTCAACCATGCTTTACCTCAGTTTTCACTCATAGCTCAGCCTAAATCCCCTTCCTCCTAAATAAACAATTACTTATCTCAGGCGAAAACAGCCATTTCGTCAAATACGAAAACTAACCCCATCTGATACTACTTTGGCAGTGCTGTCCTATTTTTCGATACGTTTTAAAATTCTCTTTCGTTTCAGTGATCACGAGTACGAACCGATCTCAGCGCCCGCTGAAGCAGACGGCATCATCACACAGCTCACACAGTCTGAGAAGTCAAATCTTGCGAGAAATATTGCGATGTTGCACGAGGATATCAAAGCCACCGACAGTCAGCAGGATTTGGATGAGAGTTACATAAGTTCCGCAGCGACGACGCCACGCACAGAGTCGCGCACCGATTATGAAATACACACTAGTCAAGTTGATTCAAGTGCCTTGGAAGAGTTGCCGTTAAAACCGGAGAATCGCAAGAAGAGCTTCATGGCGAGCGCACAGGATCGCACACGTAAAATGCAGGCGGGTCTAAAGAGTCAAGCTGGAAAGATCAAGACCAAGCTGCGCACACCCGCCAAGAAACCGGCGTCATCGAGCCCGAAAGCCAAAGAACGTAAACGCTTTAAGGCACCGGAGTTTTCGAAAATAAAGATGCCGGAAATTAAACGGCCCGACATGTCGAAACTAAAAGACTTTAAGCGCCCAGAATTTACAAAGTTCAACAAGCCTGACATGTCGAAATTTAAATTACCCGAGAAATTCTCAACGCTCAAACTCAAGCGCAGTAAGTCCTTTAAGGAGAATGAGACCCAAGATGAGGAATTGGAGAATGGTGCACAGCCAGCAACAGATGGCGTGCCGGCAGCACAGCCACATAAAAAGATATTCGATTTCAATTTCGGTACTTATCCTAGAGCGTTTCGTAAGAAGAAACCACTACCGGCGCAGGAATCACTCGGCACCGAGACGGGCACTGAAGGTGTCAGTGTTATACCGAGCACAGAAACTCAACCATCGCAAGAATCATCGAATTCGCCACAGGGCGACCGCGGACCCGGACCGGTGCGCTCACGTTGGGCTGATAAGTTCTCAGATGTGAGCTACAATGATAGTGAAGGTTCGCGCTATCGGCGCTATGGTAGCGAGCAAGAGAGTTTCGATCGCGAATCATCACTGGAACGGCGCATGAAAGATGATATGGAGGAATCGGAGAGTGTGGCACAGGAGATGGGCATTTTAGGTGGTGTTGCTGATACAAAACAATTTGCCGAATTCGATGAAGAAAATCGCGCAATACATGAGATATCAAAAATGCGTGCCGGTGAATTCAGACGCCGTCCAATGGTGCATCAGGACTCCGATCTACGTTCCGAGGATAGTAAAGATGTCGAGGGTTGGACCGAAAAGGAGATTGAAAAGAATAAATTGTTGCGTAAAGCCGAATTAGAGGCTGAAGGCAGTTACTTAAAATACACGGCCGATGATGTGTTGCCACAAGAAACTCAATCTACAGCGAGCTCTGGCAAAAAGGTTGTGATGGAAGAAATTGACGATGATGAATTTTTCCTACGCAAACGTGGCGTCTCCGAAGACAATATTGAACTGCGTCGGTATATAAGTAATGCGATACGCGAGGGTTATGACAGACCGCTAAATACATTGGAGCATGTGGGACAACCCAATGAATACCGGGATTATGATATACCACCACCGAAGCCTAAGCGCCTACACAAAACCTATCAACCACAAGATGTCTCGCAAGATTTCGAATCTCAGCGCAGCGAATATGGCGACGATCTGTCGATGTCGCAAAATGGCAGCGATTACTATAATGCACCCAAGCGGCCATTGCGCAAAGGACGTAGTCGTAGTAAGTATTCGATGGATAGTCAAGAATTTCCGGTAGCAGAGAGTATGCGTCATGAGCCATATTTCGATGATGACGAGGAATATCTGCGACCACCACGTAACAGTTATAAGGAGGCCGAAGATGAGATAATGGAAATGAACGATCTGGATATTGTCGGCAAACAGGTCTTTCCGGCTGAGCCCGAGGGTGTTAAAGACGGTGCGCCACCACCACAAGCGCCCCGACGCCGCAAACGAGATACACGTGATAATTCAATGGATTCGAAAGATTCTTATATGAATGGTTTCGGTGGTCGATCGGTATCAAATACTCGTTTACAGCCAACCGAAGATGTAAGTGACATAGCTCCGTTTTATGAGATTAATGAGATATTTCCCTAATTTTATATTCATATCACTTTAGGTAATAGTTTATCGCACTGAACACGAATATCCTATTCCTATTGATGCTACCGAGAAGTTCGAGCCGACAGTAACCACTCGTAAGTCTAGATCAATTAACCGCTACGAGGAGGACGATCGTATCTCGCGTGGCGCCGATTCGCTGGGCTATGAAGAACAGGATGAAATGCAAGTTGATGCTGAAGCGAATGTTGATAAGGATAAGTTTGTAATCGATATGATGGAGAATGATGGGTGAGCAGCTTGCGCAGAATTCTAATTGATTCATATTTATATTAACATAATTCCCCCACACAGCTACGCCATTGTACGTAAAGATCATATGCCAAAGCCAACGCCACCAGCTCGTCGTAAGAAATTTTCACGTTCACCTGGTGAGCGTTTCGCTTCAATATCCAGTGGTTCCGCAAAGAGCGCTACACCACCGCCACCTGAACGTCCGCCACCACCCCGCGCATACACGCCATCGACAATGGAGGAACCAGTGCCGCCACGCCGCAAGTCTATAACCAGCCTAGAGCTGGCGCCGCAAATGTAAGATGCGCTAGAAAAGTATAAAGATACTCGCACGTTTTCATTGCGAAATTTCGTAGCAAAATTTTTAGTTTTGAAAATGTTTTTTTTTTTTTTCGTTTTCTTTTGTTCGTCACCTATGGAGTGAGCACTTTTTGAACGTTGTGCGCACATTGTTTTTGGTTTAATGCTTAATTTGCTGCTGTTTTTTTTGTTGATTTGTTGTTATTTGAAGTATTTTTCCGTTCGATATGCGTAACTTTAATATATTCACTTACATAAATATGCATACATATGTACATTTTATAAATAAGTAGCCAATTTGAGCTCGAATCGTGCTGTCATTAATATTATGTGTTTAATTATGAAAATAAATTAAAAAATTAATAGAAGTAAAACAAATTAAAATAAAACTCATTTAAATCATTAAAAATCATTTAAATATAATTAAAAATTTTTTAAAATGAAAAATTAAGAAAATCAAATTTAAACAAATAAAATTAATTACATAAAATAAAAACCAAAATTCAAATAAATTAAAAAAATTAATAAGAAATGAACAAATATACTAAATTAAATAAAACTAAACAAAAAAAATAAAATTAATTAAAATAAAGTATTTTTACTTAGAATGAAACAAATATAATATTAAAGTGACTAAACTAAATTAAAAAAATTTTAATCAGAAAGTTAATAAAAAATTCAAAAAAAAAAATAATTAAAGTCAACACAACGAAATAAATTAAAATAATACTAACCAAAAAAGAAAATAAATTATAACAGTTTAAAAAAAAATAAAATATATTTAAAATAAAATTTGAAAAATAAAGCGAAACGTATAAAATAAAATTAAAATAAAATACATTAAAACACAAAAAATAAATATTAAATTATTATATTAATATATATATGTATATATATTGTAAATGTTGCTGTTGTTGTAGCCGCAAAAATATTACCAAAATATTGTTTGGGGAATGTTGTGTGAGTAATAGCCTTTGGCCGGGTAAAAACCCCGGTCGTTCGATTTTAGCGCCCCAATTGTCGGGGAAATTTTGGATTTTAGTTGCCTTTACGACAGACATTCCTAAGCACGGGATTATTTTTGAACCACTACCCCGCAGGGCTATTTAATAATTGGCGCTTTATAATCACTGAAGCGATTTTCGGACGAGCAACTCCTCCGATTTGTGAGCCGCCTCCGAACAGCCGATGGATTTTTAGAGAAGTTTTTATTTCATGTTAGAAATAAACTCGAAGGGTTTAGCTTTCCCTGCCGAGGGGAGTTTCGGATTCGAACCCTGGTCTTCAGAATGACAGTATGCAATGCTAAGCTCTCGGCTATTGCTACACTTTAACTAAGTTTTATTTTAATTTTTGTTATTATAATTTTTTTTTATTGAAGTAAAATTATAATAACAAAAATAAAACTTAGTTAAAGTGTAGCAAATAATTAAGTAAATATAAAAAAAAAACATAAAATAAAATTACATAACATAAACTGAGATAAAAGAATTTAAAATTTAGCCAAAAATTCAAAATAAATTAAAATAAACTTAAAAAAACTAAATTAAATGCAAAATTCAAATAAAGTAACATTAAAAAAATTATAATTAAATCAAATAAAAGAGTGAAAAAATATATAAATGAAATAATCTAAAATTAAATTAGAATTAAAAAAATATAAAAATTTAAACGAAAAATGAAATGCAATAAATTGAAATAAATTAAAGGAAACTAAAATAAAATAAATAAAAATTTGGTAAAAAATATTAAAAAAAAAATATTGAAATAACATGGGACAAATTTAGATATTAAAATAATTAACGAAAATAACAGATAAAATAAATATTATTAAATTAAAATTAAATAATAAAATAAAGCAATAAAAAATTCAATTAAATTGCAATGAAATTTCTTAAATTAAAATTAAATACAATAAAATGAAATTAAATAAAAAATTAAAAATAAAAGGAATACCATAAGCTAAAAAAAATTATGGAAAATTAATTATTATTATTAAAAAAAAAAGTGAAAATAAAACACATATAAAAAATTAAGCCAAAATGAAGTAAATTAATTTTTTTAAATAAAAAAGAAATAAAATAAAATAAAGCAATGAAATAAAATTTATTATTTTTAAAATTGACCCAAACAAATTAGAATAAAATAAACTAAAACCAAAAAGAAATAACACAAAAATGGAAACATATAATAAAATAATATTTTGCCTTTATAACGAATTAAGGTAAAATAAATTAAAATATGATAACAAAATAATAAAAAATTTAAAAAAATAATAAAATACAGCGAAATAATATTAAACATATTCAAATATATTAAAATAAAAATAAAATAAAAATAACAAGATAAGAAAAAAATTAATAAAACAAAATTAAAAAATAAAATGAAAATATATATATTTCATAAAATATAAACAAAAAATCAAGAAATAAAAACGTGAAAGGAATAGTATAAAAAAAAAATTAATGAAATAATATGAAAGAATAAAAATTTAAAATAAAATGAAATGAAATACAACGAATTTAGTAAAATTGATTTTAAGCAAAATTTCAAAATAAACCAAAATTATTTAAGTTGTTTAATTAATTTAAATATAATCAAAACGAAATAGAGTAAGGCAAGGTATATAAAAAAATTCAATAAAATGAAATTTATAAAATAAAAAAAATAAAATAAAATAAAAAATTAAAAAAATATAATAATAAAAAAATTTAAATAAAATGAAATGCGATAAATTAAAATAAAATAAGATAAGCTTAAATAAAACTAAACTCAGATAAAATGAATATAAATATGGTAAGAATATAATAAAAAAAATTTTAAATACAAAGAGATAAATTTAAATTTTACAATAATTAACTAAAATAACAGATAATATAAATATTATTAAATTCAAATTAAATAATAAAATAAAGCAATAAAAAAATTCAACCAAAATGAAATGAAATTACTTAAATTAAAATTAGATACAATAAAATGAACTAAAATATGATAATAAACTAATAAAAAATTAAAAAAATAAAAAAATAGAACGAAATAAAATTAAACATATTTAAATATATTAAAATAAAAATAACAAAATAAGAAAAAAATTATTAAATCAAAATTAAAAAATGAAATGCAACTAAATAACTTAATTTAAAATTAAGCTCAAGTAAATAAAATGAAATTTAGACAATAAAATAAATTGAAATAATTTAAAATTAAATAAGATAAGCTGAAATAAAATTAAACTCAGATAAAATGAATAAAAATATGGTAAGAATATAATAAAAAATATTAAAATACAAAACATATACATATAAATGCAATAAAACTAACCCAAATAAGATAGAAATTTATTAATAAATTAAAATTAATTATGAAAATAAAGCAAATAAAATAATTTAAATTAAAATTAAGTACTATTAAATATAAAGAGATAAAAGAGAAAAATTAATTAATTAAACCCTTTTTTATGAACTAAAAAAAAGTTAAGCAAAAAAATTAGTAAATAAATAAAAAAACATATAATAAAATACAATCCAAAATAAAATAGAATAAAGTAAATTAATATTGCTTAAATTAAAATTAAATAATAAACTAAAACAAGCCAATAAAATAAAATTTATTTATTTATTTAAAATTGACCAAAGCAAAATATTTTATTATTTAAATACATCAAAATTAAATAGAAATAATAAATAAATTATAATAGAATAAGGTAAAGCTATATAACAAACTAAGATAACATAAATTAAAATATAATAAAAAATAGTAAAATACAAAAAAATTATCATAAATGCAATAAAATTCATCAAAATAAGATAAAATAAATATTAATAAATTAAAATTAAATATTAAAATAAAGCAACATAAAATAAAATAAACTTAATTAGTTAAATTAATATGTAATTTAGCACAAACAATCTACAAAGCAACCACGCAAGGTGTGACCTATTTCTTTTTCGAACCGAATATTTTTTAATGTCGCGCGGGACTAAACTTATATTTCGTATTTAGAGCGTCTCTCTCTCTCTCTCCTTGAAGCTCACATGCCAAACTATGCTTTTGCTTCAGTAATAATTGATATGGAGGCTAAATATGATTTCAGCGAAAATATCGTTATTAGTTTAATAAAGATTTTATATAATTATTTATTAATGCTAAACTAATGCGAATAAACACATAAGCATAAAATACTATTTACTTATTACTTATACTATAAGTATACACACACATACATATTTAAATAAAACTCGACAAATTCATACAAATTGCGTTTTGTTTCTTTTACTGTTTTCGGTGTTTGTTTATTTATGATATATATGTTTTCTGTTTTGAGCTTCTTCATGTTGTTGGTTGGTGTTCATAACGCATACGCATTTGCCATCGCTTTACTAATAAGTATTTATTACTTCTTTTTTTTTTTTGTTTCTACATCTCGCGCTTCTTTTGTCTCACACTATCGCTAGACTGGAGGATGACTATGAAGAGCCCGAAGCTTTGCAGCAGGAACGTCCCGAATCTCCACGCGATTTACAGTCTGGAGAGATTATAAATAAAATGAAATTCCGCCCATTGCCACCACCGCCGCGTCCACCACGTGAGAAGCGTCAACGTGCCGAAAGTAAGAGCTCAGCGCATAGCGCTTTCGTCGCGCCGCACGAACGCGACTTGGCTGATGAGAGACTCGCTACATCTTCCACGGCGGATAGCTACGATCCGACCGATGTCGATTTGGAGGAGGAGGAAACACGACTACCTGAAGTGGAAGTTTCAACGCAAACCGATCCGCTACCAGATGACTTTGAATGTGAGGAATTCGAAATCACTGAAGATATGCGTATCATTGAGCCACGCATAAATAGCATGCGAAAGACGTTGGATGAGTTATTGCGTGAGGAGGAGTTGAAAATAAAGTCCAGCGAAGACTCGACGGCACCACAACTGACCGAAGAAGAGCAATTGGTGCGTGGTTTGCAACGATTCCGTGATGCCAATCAACGTAGCATGTCTGAGCGTTCACGTGCCTCTTCCCAAGCTGATCGTTCGAAATCGCAAAGTCGCCCACCCACACCATCCGCTGTAGTCATCGAACGACGCGTTTCAACACCTATACCTAGTCAACAGGCCGAAACATTGGTGGAGGCATCGCTGATTGTCCGTCCAATTGATGATTTGGATCTCGAAGAGGAAGCTTTGCGCAGAGAGGGACTCCTAACAGATAGCTCACAACAAAGCAAGTCCGACGTGGAAGCGCCATCACAAGACGAGGAAGAAGAGTCAAAGTTAGGTGTTAGTGACTACTCAATTGGACCAAGCTCGGAGGAACTTAATGCTGCACTAGACGAGCTGCGCACACAAGCCGACAGTACTTATGAAGAGGAAAAGGGCGAAAGTGTTGAAGCCGAATCAATTAAATACTCAGACGATGTAAGAGCTTCAGATGATGAGACGTTTTCAAGAAGAAGTTATGAACGATATCTGCTTGAAGAAACGTCTGGTAAAGAGGATGAAGAAGAGCTAGAGACGAAATCCGCTACAGAGGAGAAACTTTCACTACAATTACAAACTGAAATTGAAGATTTCGAAGCGCTACCCACTGCTTCTGAGGACGAGCAAAGAATAAGCGAGGTTGAAGAGGCGCCGACAGATGACGAACGCACCTACGAGCAAGAATCATCTATAGAAATTAAAGAGACTATTGCACAAGAAACAGCAGAGGAAAAGGAACACACACTCGCCCAAGAGCAGCAATATGATTACGACGAAGACTACAGCAGCAAGCAAACTGAAAAACCTGACGACGCAGCGGAAACAGTGCTAACGGAGAACCAAGTTGAAGCCGTAGCTTTTGAAGAGCCACCATTGCCACCGCCGCGACGCAAATCTACGACAGCCGTTGAAGTGCCGCCATCACTAGCTTTAATGGAAGAACCTTCGAAAGAACTGACACCCAAACCAATGCAAACAGCAACCGTACAGCCACCACCTCAACCACAACTACCAGCGCACCTTGGCGATCTTGAAGTAGAGCGTCTTCAAGTACACGCGCTACAAGCTGGTCAAATTATGGTTTCTCAACTGCATGGCACACAAATCTCAGCAGAGGAACTGGAATGTAAGTCGGGTAATTTGATTGTTAAGAACATTGCATTGCCGGAGGGCTTCATTGAAGATATCGTGGAGCGCGTGCGCACTACGGATCGTCAACAGCTGTTAACTGTTGAAACTCAGACCAGTTTGCAAGCAAGTAGCGAGGAGAGATCCCCTGTGCGGGAGGTGGTGCCGCCACCAAAACCACCTCGGCAACGCGATTTGGAAGCGTCAAAGCGTTCTGCCGATACAGCAGATGAAATAACACTTCAGCAATTGCGTAACTACGATGAGGAAACCCAAACTGATCCCATGACTTATCCCACACATCACATGGCCATCCCACCTCCACCACCCGTGTACGCCACAACCGAATATCTGCAGTCATTACCGCCAATGGGTTACTATCCCAATTTACGACGCGCCGATGAGCCACAATTCGGCACCAGTCCTGATAGCAATGAGCCAACCAGTACATTACAGCGAAGGCCACATCATCATCATCATCATCATCATCGCCATCATCGACGATGTGACTCATCGTGTTCGGAATGCGATGACTATGACGAGGATTTGGCTGACAGAGAAGAGACGCGCTCACGCTCCCACAGCAGACGCTCTCGGAGCAGTACACGTCCACCAACTGAGCCACAGACATTAGCCAAAGCGAGCAAACAATTCGTGTCAGCTTGTAGCTTATCGCTCGTACAATTGCTAAATCGGGTGACTGCTGCGGTACGTGGTGGAGATCCAGACAAGCAGGTCGAAGGTCAAGTGCATCATATACCAACATTGGTCGCACTATTTGTGGTCATATCATTTAGTCTTATTGTGTATATGCTTTCGGGACGTAGTGTACATACACACCACTGGGACTTTTTCAACCCGCCAGGGAACGGTGCGCGTCAATGATAGACCGACTTGTGCTATTGGTTGGGAATATTAGTTTTTCAGTTCCTTCTTTTACACATGACAAGTTGAGTTATGTCCCAAGGAGTTTGCTTGCATTTCATGTTTTTCTTATTTTTTGTAAAAACTCGACTATGGAAAAGAACTTTTGGAAAAGTTAAGCTTAAACCAAATATCAAGAATAAAATGGGACTTTCTATTTGTTTTGAACCGATGTTATCGTTACAACTCCTTGTAGGTGTTGTACGTTAACCTATATCTTTTTGAACTGCGTCGAGTAAAAAGCAAAGCAACGAACAAAAATTTTCTTAACATTTTGTACGAAAATATAAAAAAAAATATTAACGAGGATTTTTAAAACGACGAAGAATTTGCAGCGCCAATGGCGATACCTAAATAAAACAAAATACAAACACTAACGCTAATGAAAGCTGATTGCATAACGGTTTGCATAAATATTATATATGTAAATATTATTAAGATACACATACATACATATATATATATACATATATATTTTTGCAATGAAATTTTCATAAAGGACCTAAAACTGAGAATCATATTATATTTTGATGGCATACTCATACTTAATAAATATGCATTGACGACGTATTAAGTATACTACATACATACATACATATATTGTTTTTATCTTATTATTAAATTATTATGTACTTTCAAGTGATCGGCATATGTTTTTGTTTTCTTTTATTATTTATTTGTAAGCAATCAACTTAGTAATGACATTTGATTGCTCATAATTATGCAATACATTACTGTTATCTAATCTACACTATTTATTATTTATATTAATTATATTCAAAATTCATAAACACTCATATTTAGAAATATTGAAAGTGTAATCTTTTTTCAATAAAGCAAAGTTTAAACAAAACAAACCTGTTTCTTGAAATTCTTTTCTTGTTTTTGTGTAAGGGTTGATTGTGACATTAATTTTCTTTAAAAATATCCAATTTTATTGTTAATAAACTTATAATAAAAATACATCGTCATATTGAACCATTTCACGGCGATCTTTGTGGCTGCCCTTCTGAGAGGTGTTGGCGGCTACAAAGAAAAAATAAATAATACAGAGTTTAACTTAGAATGACAAAAGTAAATACCAATAGACGACCACACAGCCGATGATGAGGCGTCGTTAATAGGTTCAATCTGTGGCTGGCGCCGCGCAAGTTGCACTTGCAAATTAATGCCATTAACATTTTTGCCGTGCATTTCGGCAATAGCGCGATCTGCCGATTCTGGCTTGGCAAACGATACGAAACCACGACTGTAAAGATTTGTTTGTTTTTAATAAAAGTTTTAAAATATTTTCAGAAGGCTGCAAATTTACCCCTTCTCTATTTCCATCGATACATTCACAATTGTACCATAATCGTTGAAGGTTTTTTTCAAAAACTCTTCTGTAACCTTATTGCCCGACACGAATATAGTATTACCAGCCCGTGGCTTTTCCGGCTGCGAAGAGTCCAACGAGTTCTTATCATTCAAACCACGCTCTTCACGGTCGCGTTCGGTGGCGAAATGTTGATATAAATTTTGTATGCGTGGTTCCTCCTTAATTATCTCACTGATTATAGTTTCCTGTGCCACATCATTTTGTGTCGATGAGAATGGTTGATACGCGGCTACACTTGTCTCAGGCGCGCGCTTGGCACGCTCTTGACCTTTGGGACGTTTAAATGATGTTTGATCCTGTTTAGTTTGTTGTTTCTGAATCGCTGGTATAGCACCACTTTTGATTAACTTCCGTGCAACTTCTCGTGCATCACGCGCGTCAGTGGGTCTTTTTAAAGTTAGTGGCTTCTCGGGTTCCGGTTTAGGTGCTTTGAGTGCCTGCAAGGCTTTTTTCTACAAAAAAAAAAAATATGAAAATTGGCCGGCTGCATGCTCACTATAAATGCATTTAAATTTACCTTCTTCTTTAGCTTTTGATATTTGGCTTGTAGCATATGCTCCTCTTCAGTTAAAGTTGAAGGAAAATGTATATAAACCATTATTCGATCTTTTTACACGCTCAAAAATAAACAAAATTTTCTATTTATGCAGACAGTCTCACTGAATATTCTATTTATTTTTGTTTGCAAATAATACAGGGTGGCCTAGAGCAGAAAAATTCCATCTTTACTAGTCGTCTTCACTCATGCCACTTAGTTTTTTTAAGTTTTCTTTCGAATGCTTTTGCGTGTCAGTGGTGTTACATATTGGCTATTTAAGTGGTGTAATATCCTGCTCTCTTAACAAATTTCTTCTATGAAAAAAAAGACATTTCCAATTACCTTAATTTCAAAGAAAGCTTTTGAAATTTTTTCTGATTTCCACACTTTCACAAAAATCATCGATATATGTCAGTTTATCGATACTTGGTTTATCAGGTGTTAGCTGATGTTACATCCATCATTGACATTTTTATTTATAAAAACCGGTAATACTTTTGTTATTCAATTAAAAAATAGTTGCATCAACCTACCATGAATAAAAACAATAAACACAAGGCATCATGGCGTGGCAGGCAGAAATACAATAGCAATAAGCGCTCAGGTGCCGGAAGGGATTGGAAGAATCCGACGAAGCAGTAAGAACCACATGTCTTTTCCACATTGCGCCTTATAATTATATATTGTTTATATTTTTTGTAATAAATGTAGCTCAGCAAATAGAGTTTGCTTGCGTGAGGACCAAGTAGGCATAACCGAGTATGTTAGCGATGGTGAGGGATTCACTGGCGTTGTAAAATCACGATTTTCTGATTTCCATGTCAATGAAATTGATCAAAATGGGCAAGTGCTAATACTCAACGATTTGTCAGTACCAAAACCGGCAGTCGAAAGTAAGCTTTAATTAACTAGTATTACATTTTGAAATTAATAATAAATAATTCCATAGCTTTTGATGAAGAGAAATTAGCAGAGGCACGCACGAAATTCGCGGAAGTAATAACAGCAGAAATTTGGGATAAATTAAATGATTTAGCTAAAATGAAAGCCAAAGATTCAACAGCACAGCCCATAGACATCCTCGTTACTTCCTTAGACAAAACCAACCGAGGAGAATTACATGAACTGTTAAAACAAATATATGGTACCAATCTAACAAGTTCAACAATAAATCAAATTAACAATTCCATAGAAGAACGAATTATACGTGTGGCAAAACCAAAAGGGAATTCACGTAATCAAGAGCGCACACGCTGGACTTTTCCCGGTGAATATGTACATTTCTTAGTTTATAAAGAGAATATGGAAACAGGTGAGGCGGCATCACGATTAGCTTCACGTTTGGGGTATGTATTTACAAATAGCTAAATCTAAATATATATTTTTATTTATGCACACAAATTTTTTAGTATGCACCCGTCTCATGTGAACTATTGTGGTACTAAGGATAAACGTGCCAAGACCACACAGAAGTTCTGTATAAAACGACGAAGTCCTTCACAAATTCTAAACGCTGGGATTAATTCAATGCGTATAGGCAATTTTTCTTTCAGCAATGATGTGCTTAAATTGGGTGACTTAAAAGGAAATCGCTTTAGAATCGCTTTGCGTCATGTCAATGGTGATGAGGAAATAATACAAAAAGCTCTAGAAAATTTACGAGACAATGGGTTTATTAATTACTTCGGTTTACAGCGCTTTGGTAATAACGCCGATATACCAACATATGAAATCGGCGTGGCGCTCCTAAAAGCTGACTATAAAACGGTTAGTATAATGTAATTTTAGTAATTTTTCAGTAATAATCTATGTATTCGAAAGGTTGCAGAACTTATTTTAAAGCCGCGTGCAAATGATTTACCTTTCATGGATGAGGTACGCAAAAAGTGGTGGACAGAACGCGATTCAGCGGCTGCAGCAGCCATGTTCATACCAAATGAATTTATAGAGAAAAAACTACTGAATGGACTGGCAAAATATGGAGAAAACGATTATTCGACAGCATTAAGAGGAGTGAGACATTTTATGATTAAAAAAATAGCAAAATATAAATGAATTCTTTCTACGCTTGCAAAAAATAGATACCACGCAATATGTTGCTGCTTTATCCACATGCATTCCAAAGTTTAGTCTTCAATCGTATTGCATCGCAACGCATAAAAGAGTTTGGCTTAAAACTAATGGCTGGCGATTTAGTATATCGCAATAAAGAAGAAATGGATGAGGATATCGTTGAAAATAACGACACAGAAAACTCAAATGAGAATTTGGAAGCGGTAGAAGGAAATGACGAGACAAAAGAAACTGTTACAAAAACAGAAGAATCTATTTTTAAGCGCAAGGTCAAGGCTTTAACGGAAGAGGATATTGCCAGTGGAAATCATTCTCTCTTTGATGTAGTTTTGCCACTTCCTGGACATGATATTACGTATCCATTTAATATAGTAAGCTCATGGTATGAAGATATACTCGCCGAATATGGTTTGTCATCGGAGAAATTGCGTCACAAGGTTAAAACCTTTGCAATGGCTGGTGCTTATCGAAAATTACTTATACGACCCACCGAATTCACATGGAAATTCCGGAAATATTCTTCGCCAGAAGAGACATTAATAGCATCCGATTGGGAACGCATTAACGGTAAAGCTGAAAGTATAGAAAATGGTGAGGAGAAAGGCGATTTAAAGGCATTACTATTAGATTTCTGTTTACCACCCGCGGTATATGCTACAATGTTACTTAGAGAACTTTTGAAAACGGATACCTCAGCTGAACAACAAGCAACGGTAGAAAGTAATGAAATGAGTAAAGCAAGAAGCAGTCAACAGGCGAGAGAATCTGAGGATGATGTTAAAATTGAATCTAATGAAAATAACGAGCCAAAAATCGAAAAACGCAAACTTGAGGCGGATGAAAACGATGTAAATGAAGCGGAACTTAAAGAGAAGAGAAGTAAAACTTCATAGTGAATGATAAATGAAAATTTAAAGTAGTAGATAATGAAAACAACATAGTTGTGAATATAATGACTTTAAAGCTCAATAAGAACTAACGCTGTCTAACGTTGTCAAGCCCATAATGATTAAAAATATGTTATACAAAAATTGATTTAGTGCTTGTGTTATGCTATCTCAGCTACAAAAATATCATTTCTAAAGAGAAAATACAAACAAAATTTTATTTTTAGCCTATATACATATATATAAGTTAAACAAATATTACAAACTTTCAAATAAAACAACAATAATTGATTTTTGAGATATAATTAGCACACGTAACACTGTCATTTAACTACAACTTCAATTGATTGTATTAAAATTTATGATTCATTCAATTTTCGTCAATATTTCTTACATACATAAACATATGTATATAGCTATAATAGCCGAAACCAAAGGTTACAAGCAACTATTTATTGTTTGTTTATTTCTGCCACTTAAAACGCTTTGCGTTCTAAAATAGTTGTCTTTCCAAAAATAAGACTGGTTAAAGCAACAGACAAAACAACAACAATAACAGCTTAGCACACTCCATTGTTTTGTTATGCTTTGCGTACTCTTCGGTTTACCAACGAATTGTTAAAGGACTCGATACAAACGAAACAGTTTGTTTACATTGACTTTATGAGCAATAATCAAGTTGAAGCTTTATTGGCGGGAGTGTAATTCGTGGTAGTAATTGAGTCGTTCAGCTCTCTTTCTCTTCAATTTGCTACTCACATTTATACGTATCAACAAGCAGAACGTATTGCGCATATACAGACATAAACGGACTGGCGACAGTTGAAAGGATATTCAATCAGTTTTCTATGGTTCACAGTACTGGGCGAACGGCAGTAGTGAAATAAACCATTTAGGAATAGTACAAGAATTTATAAAAATAAGTGCGGGAGTGCTGGTTATTAAATTAGCTTCGAATGAAATTAAGTCCATGAGGAAAGTAAATTACAAATGCAATTGCTTATTAAAGTTCCTTGTAAAATTTCCATTTTCTTTGAGTGAAAGGTATGCATGAAACAAAAATTTTTACATTTATAAAACACCAAAATATGGCGCCTTTATTTATTTTTTTTTAACAAAAAAAAAAATATATATTTTTTTATTAATTAATTTTTAAAATTCCTTAAGTTCCTAGCAAAAGGTGAAGGTCTTTAGAAATTTTCATTTATTGATTTGTATTGTAGAGTAACAAAATCAATCAATAAGAACGACGGTCATGTTAATATAAATGCATATGTAAAAATACTATACAATAATAACAAAAAGAGCAGTAACAGAGCTAATTGAAAGCATTAACGGTCATGAACATAAAAACTCATAAATATGCACATTCGTATATTTATATGTATGTTTGCAACATATACACATAAACTTATGTGCAAGTATTTTACACGAAGGAAGTGTATGAAATTTAAAATAAATTGCGCGCTTCTTAAGTCAAAGCAGCGAGGTCAGCGCCCACAAAACTCATACACGACTCTCTTAACAGCCCACCGCCCACTAAAACACGAAATGCCGTTTCCATTTGAGGAAATCCAAATAACATTCGTGTAAGATGATTGTAATGAAGTTGTATTGTATTTACCTAAGCTCATAATAAATCTCACAACAATTATAGGCATAATTTATACATTTATTGTTTATTTAGCATATGTTTAGGGCAATATACATACATATGTAAATACTTACACGATTTTCGATTGACATTGCTACCTTTTCATTTACATGTGTTATTTTTTTGACTATTCAATAATTCGCATTCAAAGTGGCCCACTCCTGCGTATATAATTAAAGCATTTGAAGGGTGGAAATAAAGCATCCAAGCATGATTCATATTTGCAGAAATCGATTTTGGTGTTTAAGGATATATTCAGCATGGGTAAAACAAAAGTACATACATATGTATGTATATATATTTTGCTTAAATGACAGATGAAGATGTATATATGTAAGTTTACAATTTCTCTTGGAAAAGTGAAGCCAATAAATCAATTGAATTTGAGGCGTGGTTGTAACTTTCAATTACGCACTGCAAAATATCTTTTAAATACTCAAGCTTGTGAGCTCAAGTACGATTGTTTTTTTTATTTTGCAAAAATATTTTTTGTATGACAATTCAATAAATAACAAGGGAAATTGTGGTAGAGGCAGGTGTTTAGTGAGGCTTTATTGCTATTTGTAACTTATTCATATCGCTACATCGTCAATACTTTGATTTTCCAACGATTTTAGTTGACATCTACATAGAAACGCCACAATACGCTTTTCCGCCTTTGCGCGATTAGCTGCGTCGATACCTTCGAGCAAAGTTTCTATGCGTTTCATAAAAGAAGATGTTGCCGTTGTTGATGCTACAACAGTTTCTGGTTTCTCTGTTTCGACAACTACATTTTGTTGTTCCTCCATTGCTTCTTGTAGAGGATCATCTTCGTCGATTATTTGTTCAATAAGTTGTTCTGAGTCCATTACACACCAACTTGTGGGTACATTTTCGGCGGAGCTTTTCGCGCTATTCGATTGCTTTGTGCTTGTGCTTCTAATACAACATATTTAATAAAATACAGTTTTAACTACTGAAGATCAAAATATTTATATATTCGTACCTGTGCGCTCTTAAATGATTTTCCAGGAAGCTCATTTTATCTAATAAATGCCATGTATCGGCGGTAGCATTCTTAATACCGCCTGATTCATGTGTAAGTTCTTTTGTTTTTTGCACTTCGCGGCGATACTTGTCTTTTAAATTTTTCCATCTTGTAACACAGTATTTAGCTGAAAATATAATAATCAGATAGATATTTGTATACTTGTTTTTAATATTACACTTACTGTCAACACCCAAAGAGGCAGCTATGCTGCGCCAAAGCTCAATCTTCTTTTTCATGAGATTGTATGGAGAACTGCGCACTTCCTTCTTGTACAGCAATGGATTGGCACACACCAAATCGACTAGTTTCGCATCAAAATCCATTTTGGCTGCCATTTGATTAATATTAATAAATTAATTGTTTTATGTCGTACTTGAAAAACAATCTTAACTTTGGTAAACAATAAACTCGCTTGAGGAAAGTGAAAGCAAAATATTAAAATTGTAAATAATAAACAACAGCGAAATGACAGCGACATCAAAAATATAGCGTTGCCATATTGCTGCTCTTACAGAGCGGAAACAAATATGTCTTATTTTTTATTTAAGTAAAATTTCTTTAAAACAATTATAAAATTTAAACAAAGAGATGTTTAATGAAATATGTTAGCAAACAATCTTTATTTCTGGTTAATAAAACGTTGTGCTTTACGATAACAATGAAGCGGATATTAGGCAATATTTAGGGTTTCCGGTTTGATGAGGCATAATGAAGAAGTGAAGTGCTTTGTTCCAATTTAACGGCACTTACATACAAGTATTTCGCGTATTTTTATCAATACTAACTGCATAACTACAAATGGGATTATTTTTAGGTTCAAGAATTTAATTATCGTAAATTTTTTTTGAATTTTGTAAATGGCATTTCAAGGATTCATTTGTAACCGCCATCTTTCTTTATTTTACCACTCGGCGATAACAATGCATATGCACACACACTTACACATACATGGGTTGACTGGTGCGCGGGTGTTGCTTTTGTCGTTTGTGCTCAAAAATTGCAGACGAATTATTGATTTATCGATTTGCTTCCTGTTAGCTTGCACTCGCTTTTGCTCTTGCGTTTCTTTATAAATAATAAAAAGTTAATTGCATAAATAAATATGGAAAAACAGTAAACAATTATTTTATATTTAATTTACAAAAACCTTGCTAATGTGGCGCGCATATTTATAACACATTTGGTCAACGTTCAGGAATTTTAAATGATTCAACATGCTGCAGTAAAGTTGGTTCCCTTGCACAAAGACATTATCCCTAAGCAGTCCAGAGGAAAAGGAAGTACACAATCAGTTCATGGTCAGTTCGCATAAGGAAAACATGGCCGCAGAGAATTATCATTTGAAATGGGACTCACATTTGTCCTATTTGAATTCGTCTGTTGCCACACTTTACAAGTAAGTTAAATGGTGCGTGCTACGTAGTGTTTAGTTGAAGTAAGTTGTTGTTTTTTCTCGCTCTAGAAATGAGAAGTTCGCAGATGTAGTCCTCTACAGCTCCAGTAGCAGCGCTGCCAGCGGAAATAGCCCGGAGGTTGGCATACCTACTGTAGGTATTTCAGCGCACAAATTTATACTAAGCTCCTGTAGTCAGGTATGTGAATTTAAATGAAAATAAACATAAAAAAAATTCGAACATTTCTATTCAAATTCTTTATTCTGGCAGTTTTTTGCAACGATGTTCGAGACCGCACCGATCGCCTCGCCTAATGCTATACTCTACGTAGTGCTTCCGCCGGAACTGAGCCATCGCGCCATACAAATTCTTGTACAGTATATGTACAGTGGTGAGGCGACAGTGGCCAATGATATACTTAATGAGGTTTTACGTGGCGGTGAAATATTGAAAATTCGTGGTTTATGTCGCACTTCTTCAGCCTCATCTAGTGCGCACAATACATCAACAAGGGTGACCGAAACGCTTCTAACTAATGGTGTTAGTGGTGGTATTGGCTCACATTACATACAAAGTGCAGGCAATCGTCAACCAACTATGACATCCATTACCCATACGCATATTCAACCTAGTGCACATGCCGGTGATATGTATGTCGTTAACAAATGCCCAAACGGTGGTGGCACCAGTTGTGGACCACGTTATGCCGTGGAACACTTACAACAGTCTGCAGCGCCCCAGCCAACGTCTACTCAACATGCACAACCACATCAAATACAACACAATCAACATCAGTTTCGTGGTTTAGGTGCTTCCGTACTACCCAAAGATAGCCCTGTTATCGTCAAATCACCGAAACTTTCACAGCTTGGTCTGTTATCGGTCGCTACGTCGAGTAGTAAACATCACGCGGGTGGCGGTATATCAGTAAATAAGGAAGTCGCCATAGATCCTGATGATAAATGCTGCTACCAACTGAATCAACTGCATGTAACAAATTCTGTGTGCAACGAAATGGGCTGCTCCGGTGGTTGTCCCATGACAATGGAGGATGAACAGTTGAGACGACGACAACGAAATCAAAATGATGAAACTTTACGTACAACTGTAGTGGAGCAGCAGTTGGAGCGAGAATACACAGAGCGATCGCGTCCACCACCCGATGAACACCGCGATGATATCGACATGTCGAATTATGATAGACATATGCGACGTGGAAGTGGTGGTAGTGCCGGTGAACGCAGTAAGTATTTACAATGCTCTCCCCCATCGAATATAATGTAACAGAAGCTATTCAAAAGCCGATTCTTATCTTTCCTTATGATCACTTAGTATCTACAATAGTATGAGCGAGGTTGTGAACAACTTGCTCATCGCATCACAAATTATTCTTTCCTTTCTTACCTTTATTACAGATCGATATTTATTAAGCATATCTTTCATTCCTTACAGTTCGCGACTACTTCCTACCGGAATCCTACGAGCACACTAGCTCCACATCTGCAAAAAGTAATAATCAATTCACAGAACAAATTAGCGGTAGAATGACCAACTCTTCGCCAATGTCACATTCACAAAATTTTCTCACCATAAAACAAGAACCTACCGACTGGACCACAACCGCTTCCGCAGCAGATAGTGCACACAGCGATTTAACGAATCGTCCCAAAACGCCATTACGTTCTCCTAAACAACCGTTAGATTTTAAAATGCCACCCGGAACAACTGTCAAACTCGAGGTAGGCGTACATGCACACAGCCCACAAAGCGAACAGGATATGAATGCACAAGACGCGATTGACTATGATACACGTTTGGCTTGCGACACATGCAAGCAATCCTTTGACGAACCGAAATCATGGGTACGTCATTTGGAGTCTCATACAACAGCAGCAGCAACTACAGACAGAGTAAGTGTAAATATGGCATGTGGTACAACGAATAACGGCGGTGTTGGTGGCGGTGAGAATGCCGGTTCCAGCATTACCAATGGCGCTGATGCGTTAATTAAAGCCTATGTGCCGAAGAAGCGTCGTAGGGTATCGGTAAGTATGAGTGCGGGCATGACTTTTCATTCTCTTTCTCATAAAAGCGCTCTGTGACGTATATATTGTATATTTTTGTTTTTGGCAGCAGCAGGAGAATAATGCCGGACATGTTACACTTTGCTGTGACTTGTGCTCTATGTACGTATCTATGTGTATTTATATTATATCAATGCTCAATTTAATGCGTTTTTTCTCTATTTAAAGATCCTTTGAAACTCCGGCAGATTGGGTGCGCCATCTAAGCAACGAACACACAGAAATAGAGCTGGCCATGTTCAACAGCAAAAAAGATAATGAACAGAAAAGGTAGGGCTTACGACACTGTCCACTGTGCTACGCAATATTCATAATAAGTGAGCTCTAGAAGATGGGTAGTGGCTCAGGACCTAGAGAAACAGAAGTTGTACTTTAAATCAGAAATCTTGTAGAATACAGCAGGTGAAGTGATAGAAGTAGTAGAAATCAACTAGAAGTCATATATGAGTGATAAGACCTAATATATAACTTGGTTTCTGTTGATAAGACCGACTCCCTTAGCTCTAGCCTACCATCAGCATTTGGAAGGATTAAAAGTCTTTTTGGTGTTAGAATAAATCTCGAGGTATGGTAATACGTGAAAACATCATCCAGTGGAATCTCATATCAAAAATTATATTGATGGTTGGGTGCCCCCAAGTATGAGCTTTGGCCATTGCATTCCATACCTCGTGAGACCAGCATAGATTTGACGTAATTAATTTTAATTGAATATTTCCACTGGAGTAATTCTGGCCTATCTGGGTTAGAGCCTGATAAGCCCAACATATGTCGAATTCGCAATGAGCTTTCACTCTCCACCAGTTTTTTCTAAAAGCTCCCGGGTTTTTTGGCAGATAACTTCCAATACATTGTTTAGGGAATTGCTACAGTGGCGTGCTAAGGACTTAAGAGTCCTTTTCAGGGGAGAAAGACGAGATATTTAATGGTAAAACTTCCCCTGGTTTTGGCCTGTATGTCCGCTTCTATGGTTGGTCCTCTCTTTCTTTATTTCATATATCTATTATGAGGTGCGTTACTAAGTAGCGACAGATTGCTTGAGTGGTTTTTACATCAGCATTTCTGATTCGGAGACTCGAAACTAAGTCCACTGATTCGGGTATACACCAGGTTAAGATTTTCGGACTAAAGCTTCACAGTTCCAACGGTCGAAAGTTATTCTTCCGGTAGGTATGAAACGAGCAGCAGTGGCAAACACCACACAACATCCGGAAGGGCGGGTAGAAATTAATTACTTCATTGAGAGGCAATTAATTTCTGTAATTTTCGGGCATTTCCGAGGCTCCTTTTTGCGTAATGTCACAGTTAGTTTCTGCGTAAGATCATGTGAGCCTCAACTACAAGCCAGTTAGCAGATACCACCTATTTTGTCAAGGGCAACGGCATCATTTTATATATCTATATATATTATATATATTAAAATTTAATTTTTTACAGTTCTGGCAGCAGCAACAACAACAACAACCACCACCACCATAATACACAGCAAATGCACCTAAAACGTTACACCCATCGCTCAACGTATGACCACCAGCACCAACAACCCGCCAATGAAGCACAATCAATTGCAGTCTCCACTGCTGCACCATCCACTTCAAGCTTTTCGGAGCGCGCCGAGGTTTGCAGTAAAAAGTTTTCCACGCACAATAGTAGTTTAATGGCGCACAAGCGCAATCACAATGGGGCAACAACAACAGCAGCAGCAGCAGCAGCAGCACTAAACGGTGTTAGTGTGAGTGTGAGCACAAGTGTTGCACCATCTTCGTTGGCAGCGGCGGCAACGGATGGAGATGTGAGCGTGATAAGCAGTGTGGCCAGTAGTTTAACGAATGGTTTGTGCAACACCAGTAATTATTATTTTTGATTGGAAAAAAACTTTTTTCTTCAATTTCTTCTAATTTACATAGAACAAATAAGCACCTCATCGCAAGCTTGATACAGCCGTAGATACCGTAAGGATGCACAAAACGCTTGAAATGGCCACCACCGCAGCAAGCAAGTGGAGTGAGAATTGTTACTTAAGTCGTTCCAAATCTACATACAACAAAAAAAAAAGAAAAAAAAAACTAATGAGGAAATCATAAATCCAAACTATTTTAATCAAAATTTTTACAAATTCCTGCATACATACATACATATGTACATATGTATGTATATACGAGTATGCATATATATATAAATGGCAAGGAGGCAGTTGAAGTGATTTTAAAAATTAATATATAAGCTAAAAACTAACAACAACAACAACTAAACATTCGATTAATAAATCTAATAAATCAACGAAATGTTACATACATACATATTCACATACATCCACTATGTATAATATTATATATGTATTTATGCATGAATCAGGTGATAAGAACTTCCGAAGGCGAATCCATTACAAAAATGCATCGCAAATATATACACATAACGGTAAACGAAGCCACTTTCAAATAATACGCAACAAACAAATGAACTAACGAAGAAAACAACAGCAACAAAATCAAGAAGAAAAACCAAAAAATGAAGTAAATTGTGAAAGGATGAAAAATATATATTTTTTTTGTGAATTACACGTATATGTATGTAAATTAACTTATGAGAAATGATATACACACACATGCATACATACATACACACTTGGAAACGAAAAGAAAAGTTTTAAACTTGAAAATAAGCTGAACACCATTAAATTATTATTTTTTTTTTGCAAATAAAATTAAAAAAAGGTTATATATATATATATATATATACATATAAAATTATCTACGTATGTACATGTTGTATATTTATAAAGAAATTCAATAAATTCGATGTTTAAATTTATTCCATTGAATAATAATAATAATTGAAAAGCAAAAATGTCCAACAAAAATTTATATTTACCAAACGGATATGTATATGTGTGCAAAGTGTATGTATGTTTTATTTTTTCCAATTTCTCTCTCTATGTGTGTAGTTGATAAAAAAGAAGAAAAAAAACAAGTATAAAAAATTAAAAAAAATATTAAAAAAAAAACTCATTCCGAAACCAAATGATATTTACATACATACATACATTTATCGTGATTTTACGTATTTAATAAAATTAAAAAAAAAAGTGAAAATTGTGAAAATATATTATATTGTATTAAACTATTTAAGCAGTTTATGCAGCAATGCAATTTTAAATAAAGTATTTTTCTCTAACGTCGAACGAGATTTGTTTTTTTTTTCTTTTGAATTTGTAAAATTAGTGAAAAATGGCTGATCTCCTTAGTAGCTATGCTTTGTAGGCTTCGAGAAGCAGTAGGTCGATATGCAACCCATGTAGAAGCATAGTCCACGAGTACAAGTGGAGCGAAGTTGTTTGTATTCAGCTTGAAGCTCGCTTCGTAAAAACCAGTTCCAATGAAAAAAATAGCAATACCTCGAACAAGCGAAGCTACTTTCAAAGACCACTACTGCAAACGTTTCAGGGAAGCATATCCACATAAGATTCTTGGTTCCTAAGACGAGTAAGTCGAAGTTTCTAGTGTCAACAAACTTTAGAGACTCAAGCGAAATACGAAATCGTTGGATCTGACGAACGAGTGATGGCCAAAGGAATTCTTAGTGGTATCACAATGAGCGCGCTTGATGATTTAATTGAGCGGATGCCCAGTGCCCACTTGAAACCTTAAACTAAGACCGAAGGCTAATGTTACCCCTGCTCAAGAATTAAATTGAGTATTGGATCCATGCTGAGAAAGAGAATCAGACACCAAGTCTGCCTATTTACTCCGATGGATAAAAGTCTAGCCACAATGAGGGCGGGCGATATAGCAACAGGGTCAAAAGAAAGTTGCTCGAAGTTTCTATGAGAAAATACAGTAATCAAATAGGGGATCCAGCTACCGATGCTGGTAGTGTACTGAGTTTATGGATAGAATACTTATCATATTTGCTGAATGGCGGCGGGAGTCAATGGCTTTGACGACGAAAACCTGACTGGCTGTAATATTCAGGTCCTGTTTCAGTTGTTCTATCATAATCAACGAAGAAGGCACCATTTCTCAGGTAGCACTTCTGTTGTTGTTGTTGTTGTTGTAGCGGTTCACTAGTCCCGCTTAGGCACAGGTTTGATCAGCCTAAGTCGCCGTGGTTATCTAATGGTAGGTCCAGGAAACGAGCTGTTTCGACGGGGTTGGACCAAAGGGAAAGGGAAGTTAGATGAGTTGGTTTGAGAGGGCATGTGAAGAGGTGGTTAGTGCCGTGCGGAGACTCTCCACATGCAGGGCATACGTTGGGTATGCTGGGGTCTAGTCTGGATAAGTAGGAGTTTAACCTGTTACAGTATCCAGACCTGAGTTGTGTCAGGGTCACGCGGGTCTCTCGAGGCAGCTCGAGCTCGTTGTCTGCTATAGGTGGTGGTATTTCTCCGAGTACGCCATTCACTGGAAGGGAGTCCTCGAAGGTGTTGACTGACTCCTGGTGAATGGCGTTCAGTGCTTCTCGGTACGCCGTCCTGGCGGTTGTTTTACATGTTGCTGGATTGTATCCTTTAGGTCTAGTACTCCCTTTCTGGTGTGCCTAGGTGGAGGTTCAGCTTCTAGTAGGTGCCTATTGGGATGCTACCCTGTGCAAGTGATGCTCCAGCGACATCAGGAGTTTTCCTGTCGCGGTCCAGAGGGCGGTATTCTGGCAAGCCTGTAACTTCTTCATCTGCGTCTCGTTCGTCCCCGGCGCCCAGATTGGTGCAGCATAAGTTACGACAGGTATGCCTGTCGTAAGAGGCCATTAAAATCCAATAACTTACTCTTTATACCGGAACGAGCCAAATTTTTATCAAGCCAATACCGTCATACCCGCAACATTCGCCATAATATGGTTTTTGAAATACTCAAAAACAGCACAAACAACATATTATGCAGGTTTGTATGAATGCCAATCTACAAATGAGTGTCCATCGGACAAATACAACTCTAAATGAACTGTACACATATGTATGTATGTATATATTTTTTACTAATAATTATAAGTCGACTTTTATCACAAAGATTAAAAAAATTTATTACAAAACAAATGTATCGCATTTGAGTTTTTTTTTATGAAAATTTTTTGAATATACAAAAATATATATGTATGTAATGAACACAGTATGACTTTAAGCGGTTATAAGGATATGTAAAGCAGTGATATTTGCCATTCGAGTTTTTTTGTGCCGATGAATTTTAAATACAAATCACAAAATTCCAAAATCTATTGTTAAAGTTTGTCTAATCCTTAACAAGTTCTTTGTCGCTTAGCATCGCTCCTGAAAATGAAATTAAAACCAGAATAAATTAAGTGTTTCAAGTGAGTAAACGTTTTAGGCACACTTAAAGTTCATACACACATATTGCAGTATTAAGTGAACAAAATTATAACGGTAATTAGTAAAACGCTTTTTTCTTTTCATCATAAGTATAATTATGTGCTTGCTATTTGAAAGCGCTTTGGGCAAACGAGACGTTAGTTACATTGTAAATTATTATATAATTTATAATTCTTTTCTGCACTTTAATGCTTGTCGTTTGTTCGCAATGAGATGGCTTACACGAGCATATCATAATCATGAGTATTTTCACGTCGTGCTTTCATGAACTTAGCATGAGTTTCGCCATCCAAATAGAAACCCTTCACTGCTGGATCGTTAATCATTAAATCGCGCCATTGAATCTGTAATGTAAAAAAAAAAAAAACAAATTACATTACAAACAAATTTACTTTAATACTTAGCAGTATCATCTCAGAAGATTACTCACCAGCTTGCCAAAGCGTTCTTTATCCATTTCATACTTGTCGGGGAGCAAGTATTTCAACATGGCTGAACGTTCACACCATGGCCAAATCATGTAGTCCAACATGCCAGGTTTGTCGCCACCAAAGTATGGTGTGCCACGAGTGCTCAATTCCTTTTCGAATACATCTAAGCCTTTTGAGATTTCCGTTAATGCACCAGGCGCTGCCTCACTGCCACCCAAAAATACTTTATACATGGCACTGACTACCGAATTGAAGCGTTCAATGAGTATCTTTTCTTGTGCCTTCTTTAGTGGATCTTTGGGGAAGAGTGGTACCTCTGGGTACTTTTCATCCAAATATTCAGCAATAATCAATGACTCGATCAGAGCGGGATTGCCTTCTTCTTTGGTTAATTGTAGTGCCGGCACTTTACCCAAGGGACTGTAGTCAGTAAGCCATTCAGGTTTTTCCGTAAGATTGATAAATATGGTGTGATATGGTATATTCTTAGCATCTAATACTAAGTGTGCGCGATGGGCATATGGACAGAAACGCATGGAATACAAGCGCAGAATGCCATCATCGGGCAATTCTGGTTTTTGAGAGCCTACAAGTAAACCAATTTAAATATAGTATATGTTAATAATACTTCAAATACTAATAAATTTATAGAGAATGCGGAAACTTTGTATGTGAAATTTGCACAAAAAAAATGTACTTTTGATATTAATATCAGCAACAAGTCGATCATTACTTGAAACTGTACATATACTAAGTTTATATATGTACATATATACCATACAATTGGAAATATCTAAAATTTTTATATCAGAGTTGAAGATTAATTAGCTTATCTTTCCTACGTGTTGGAATACCATTGATATGTAAGATTTGTATCAAATATGACTAGACAATATTTTAAAGTATTTATGCATGCGTCATAAGAACAACAATAACAAACTGCATATGTGCTACGTTGGTATGCACATATATGGCCTTGACTGGAAACAGTACCCTGCGTCTATTGATCACTGGTTGCTTCTTCTAGATTTGCACTCACAAAATACAAAATGTATGTACATATGTATATGTATGTATTCTACAACTTTCCATTTCTTTCCGTACAGAAGAGCTCCGGTATTTTTTCCCCAATATTTATCGTTAAAACTGATATTGTTGCACATACTAACCTTTAGCTAAATGTTTACCACCACTCATTGTCTTATTAAGATTATACTTTTTAAAAAGTTGTAGTAATAAAATATTTAATGCGAATTCCTTTCGAATTGTTAAATCACCAACTGAGCAAAATCAACTCGTCAACTTGTATAAATAACGACCGGTTTTGACAATTACTTATGTCCACTCATTCGCTATGTTTTGTTTGGATGTGCTTTGACTTTCTTATCTACAAGAAAAATATTAGGGTAGGCTAATTATCAATTGAGCTTTTATTGAAGTATTTAGCCATTCAACAATCGGGACTGTTTTAAAATGGGATTTTATTATTATGATTCACATCGAAATCGGATTTTTGAATACTCCTCATTTTAATTTCAACTTGCGACGTAAGTGCCAGCGGAGACACCAAGTTTTATGAAAATTTAAACCACGTGACTACCTTAATGCTTTAGCGGCAAAAAGCTCATCTCTTCAGGAAAGCTTTTCATTAGCTTTTAACGAACGTTAACCAATAGAGCAAGGAAAAAGCACAGGGCGTAACGAAAGAATTGAAATAGTTTTTAATCAGAACATCTTTCTTACCAAACGAGTTCATAAGGTATTAATAATATTTTGCTTTTATAAATGCTTAAGAGATGTTCAGCCGGATTTTTTTCTCCATTTTTCATTGTGCGTCCTGCTGATTTTTTTTCGACAGAGCGCAGGTGCTGCTCTAATGCAGTTTCCACAATTGGGTACTACATCCATATCTTTTAAGGCAGGATTTTTCGCGGCTAGTCGGTCTAAGGTGACCCGATTTTTATATCACAGGTTTCGCAATATTTGACGCATTGTGAATATTTAGTCTACCATGAATGCACCACATCGCACTGAAAAGATCGATTTGTTCTTCTAGAAGAAAGTTTTAAAATTTCCTTGCTTTCCAGCCTCACAAGTCATTTTCTGCGAGGTCATCTAACGGCAGGCTCAGATGTAGCTGCTTAAACGTGCTCAGACTCAAAGAAAGAGATGCTGGAGAACGCCAGAAACTTCAGAAACTTTGAGTTATTAAAACGGCTAATGCGGAGACACCTGCAGATAGTGGACAGAGCTTCGAAATAAAAAATTTAAACATTAGTAGATAGAGAACAGCACTCTGAGGAAATCTGCGATCTACTGAGGAAATTCATAACAAATCTCTTCAATCACAGTTTAATGAGGAGCTTGGACATCGCTCCTAGTAGTGGTTTGCCGTACTACCAGAATAGTTTAAGCGCGAAATCGGTTTGGTTGAGACCATCAGTGATCTGAGTATTCATGGTGATTAGTATGGTGATGGTGTTGTGTAAATTGCACAAGCCCTGGCGATGTACTGCTTACACACAGAAATGCAAGTCGTACATAACTCCATTCGGCTGTATATTGTAATTAAAGCTTTCCCAAAGCGAACCGTCTTTCTTTTGTTTCTGACACATCTAACGAATCTGTTGTTGGAGCAACCGCAAAAAAATTCTTCGAATTGATTTTCGCCAAATATTGCGGAAGTGAACGTCCTCGACTGGTTAAAATCCGGGTGGTTCAGGTATAAAGATCCGCGGGAGCTATTCGATTTTAATCGCCTCTTACGACAGGTATGCCTTATAGCGGGTAAATTCATTAAAACATCAACCAGAGGAGCTATCTACGGTCTCCGCAGTCTAAGATAGACAATTTTCTGCTGCATTTGCAAAAAAAAAAAAAAAACTAGGAGGGGTCGTCGGATTTACTTATGTATATATAAGCGGAAGGGAATAGGGTGCAACTATTATTAAGCTTTGACTGCACTAAGCAAATGAGCTTCAAATGTTATCTGTCGAATATCTTGGTTGCCAGTAACGTTAACCTTTCCCTTAAATTGATAGTTGGTCAGCGGTGCCTTCAAATCTGTTGTTCTCAAATCGCAGTCCTCTTACATACACGTGGCGGTGCGCAACTCCGGCCACGACCTCACTATTTGAGAGTTTTAAGTTTTTGCGTAGCGTGCCGATGGGTTTAATAGTACTGTCCTATAGCAATTACATCTTTGGCAATAGTTTCCTTCTCCTTTTTCCATGCAATTTGTAGCAGTTGATGAGCAAATCTACATCGGGTTTAGGCCAGTCCGGGCTGCCATTTATTTTCAACGAACGGTCTCTTTAAATGCTTTGGTTGGGCGGGAGGTGGGGTAAGGTGAAGCTCGGCGTCCATCAAAAAAAAAAAGAAAGGCGTTGCTATACGAATTCTGCAGACCCCTAAGCCGAAAATGTCGGAGAAGCTTCACAGGGCAGGGCTCGTGCGCCTGAAAGATCAAAGCTGATTTTTTTGTATTCGCTTTCAACCTCGTTTTCATTCCTCGGACAAACGCTCGGCCTTAAACCCACCGCCGTTCTTGATATTACCTGCCAAGTTTAATACACATTAATCTGCTTACGCCAACGCAGCAGCGGAACTAAAATGTCACTGGACACTTTCCAGCATTTCAATAAGCATCAGTCCAGGATTTTAATGCGAAAAAGCGAAGCGATAAAAGAACAGTACTTATGGTTTAATGCTGCGTTTTAAAATTATCGGAAATTAATAAGAATAAGAATCAAATAGGCAAAGAATGGTTGTCGCCATTGAGATGTGTGTGGGCGCGCATACTAGGCGAATCAGGGCGCCGCTTCTTAAGCGTTGCGCTGTATTTTGATCGCAGCTTTGATCTTGAACAAGTTTGCGGAGTGAATATGTTAAAAACCACAAATAAAAACAAAAGCACAAATGGATTGTTAAAGAAAAAATAAAAACCTACGCACCGACTCGAAAGATTTACAAAACATATGGAAATAAAACTTTACATGTTTGCGTATGTGTGTACATACGTATGTAAAGGGTGTTTATTTTCGACGATTCATTTTCAATAAGCCATTACCTTTTTCTGAGCGGGCCTTTTTGAGAGCTCATACTGGATTTATACTCAGTTCGGAGTAAGGTTGTGTAAATCGTAATGGTTGGGTTGCGTCCTATATTAGGTCGACATAGTCGCCCAGCGGAGTCGGTCGAACCATGTTTATATACTCGTATATATATATATAATTGGCGCTTTGTAAACGCTGAAGCAGTTTTCGGTCGAGCTCCTAATCCATTTAGCGCTTTTGTGTCTGGATGTTTTTCCAACAAATGGAGGGTCCCGCAATTTGTACCAAGCCGCCTCCGAACGGCTGATGGTTTTTTATGAGGAGCTTTATTGCATGCCATAAATATAATCAGAAGAGTTGATATTTCATTCCGAGGCGCGACCGCAATTAGAAAATTAATTTAATATTTTATGTAAATTCATTTTCTATAACTTTTTGAATGTTAGTACGACACCAGAAATTCAAGCCGAGCCTTCCGAATGGCAGCATATAATACTAACCAGTCAGCTACCGCGTCCGCCATGCTTACTCTAGTTAATAATGCGCACCCTCAGAGATACCGTACAATGCCCGGCTTTGGCTGCTGAAGAGCAGAGTATCGCAGAAGACTGGAATGAGTCCGCCATCGCGCGCAACATTTGAAGCTATGTCCTATGTCATAGACTTTTTGGAAGATTTTGCGGAAGGATCTTGGTTTGTTGGCTCACAAATTCCGTCTATTGCAAGAATTGCAACCGAATCAATCAAGCACGTCGAACGCTCAGTGAATGGGCTCAAAATGAGATGGCCACCGATGTCCACAAAATAATTTATTCAGCGATGACGTTCACTTTTGGATGAATGGGTACGTTAGTAAACGAAAAAGAGCCATGATTAATGACTCTTTCATGGCTGAGTTGGAGGATGCTGATATGAATGAGTTTCGGTCCCAATAAGACGAAGCTACATATCGTATAGCCAGCTACAGCTTGTTACAGCAAACTTTTGGTGCGCACGTTATCTAGCGTCGTGGGACTTTGGCGGTATCTCCGCGATTGTACGATTTAACGTTGCTGTACTTTTAGTGAGGTTATATAAAGTAAGATCGCTCGAGACGATCGACGCATTTGGTAGAAAATTCCGCGCACAAAAAGTGGTCGAAAATTTGGCCACTCGGATGAAATTTATTCGCGCCACTTGTCACTTCTTTAAAATCATTTTGAAAACATAATGGCCAACCCTTATCTTTATAATAAATAGGAATTTTCAACACAAGTCTAAAAAAAACACCCTTTATGTGCATATGAGTATGTAAAAAAAAAGTCAAGCATTTTTTCAATTTTTTTTTGTGTATACTTTATGGTGTTTATTAGCGTAAGAAAATATTAAAAGGTTTAAGACGCTTATGACTCAGGAGGTGAAAATTTTATTTGCAGCCCACGGTGTTTAATATTATTGATTATTCTTTTTTGACATCATGAGGTATTGAGTGCTTAAAAAGTTCACGTAAGAGCTTTTTAAAAGAGCATTCTTTTTTTTGTACCTTTTTTCCAATCGCAATTCACATTGAAGAATGATAGAGCTATGAGATTTCGCCTCCAGAGGTAGCATCAGGGGCAAGTCCCTGATTGCGAAATTTTTTAACAGATGTCGAATCTGAGCGAAAGGAGATAGATTACTTAGAATATCGCTTAGAAAACGTAGCCGGATATAAACATTTATGTCTATTAGACTGACTGTGTGAAGAGATTCCCAGCGCGTATACCAAAACTAAAGAGAATTCATCTCTTCCATGGACCACTCACTTGAGTGTGAGTGGATTAATTCTACCCAGTGAAGAATTGATTCAGTACAAGCCTCTACTGGAGGCAATTTGTGTATCCACTTACGGAGAATCTCTGTTAATTACCAAAGATTTTTTTGTTTTTAGTTTGAAAATGTACGATAAATTTACGTCAAGTAAAAAGAAATCCATTACTTTTGCATAAAATTGGAGGCTTTATATTTACCATAATTAGAATTATCCGATTTATGTCAAATATGCATCTTTTAGCCATTTTGAATGTAATGTCATTTGGTCTTCTCATAAAAACCATTTTCCGATTGGTAAAAAAAATGATTATTAAAGGCTTCTCTCAAAGTTAGTTCTTCGCCAGCCAAATCATTCGCCATAGACAGGCACAGATGATAATCACAATCACTTGCCGCGAAGTCCGGACTATAAGCTAGTTGCAAAAGGGCCTGTCAACCTAACTCGCGGTGCTTCTGGTGAATTACTATTAATGTGTG